TCGACTAACGGTAAATAAGCTTCATTCGTCCAATGATAGCAGATACTTGTGAAACCTACTTTGCACAGACAAGGCTGCTCCGTCCCAGCTGGGTATTCCTGGGTATGCTTTAAAAAGCTATTCGTATCTGTTCTATTCGCCTTTTTCCTGCTCGTCCATAACCCATTTCCAGCTCTGTCTACTCTGTATTTCCGTACGGAACAGTGCGTTACGTCTAATAACGTTTATGCAAGAATCCTATAAACCGATATGTATCGAACATTGATCACGAGAAGGTATCGCAACGTGTGTTTATAGTGATAGAAATTCATTGACGGTGAAATGCCAAACTATGTGCGAGGAACTATAAATTGTTCTAAAAAAGATTAACACCGCGTAAATGCTAGTTTTGCCCTATTATTTGGACAGAAATTAGGAGGTACTACGTTGAAACTCGGCTAGAAGTTACGATCTTAAATTCTAAGCGTCTCCTTGCGTGTGATCTTTTATATAAAATCTTATAATTAGTAATATATCACATTATTAATATAACATATTAATAATTGCTTATTTGGCGCGGAATTGCGGAAAATGTACACAAGGCATTAAAAAAAATTAGCTCGGAATTACCGTCGGGGCAAACTTGAGCATTGAATTTGAACTGATTTCTAATGAATTTAATTGTATTCAAACGGCCTTTAGGTTATTTTTTTCGATAGTGCCAATTCGAGTGGACCGTTGTTACCTATACATTGTGCATGTCCTGTGTAAAAACATTCATAAATAAAAAAAAACTACTGATAAATAAACAGCCTTATTTTATTGTCTTAAGTTGTGCTCAAGGTGTAGAAAACGGTACTAGTGACGAGCTTGCATTTTGCCCACTTGCAGCCTACTGTTAACGCTCTGTATCAATTCTATGTATTGTTCTAGAAACGAAATATAAATTCACGGTTATTATCACAAACATTCGCATAAAACAGTGTTCTTGTAAGAGTGAACAGGTAACAGATTCATTTATGGGCGATGCGATGCGGAACGTAAGTGACGCATCTTCCTTCAACTTTGCTCTTTCTATTCGAATACGAATTCGGTGATGATCAATAGACCAAAAATCGAGAATGCACTTTCAAAGTAGCGCTAATCAAAAATTCTTTTTTACAAATTTGAAATATTCAAGACGTTACTGGGCTACAACATTATGAAAGTCTCTGTAAAAGCGCACAGGGTAACATGTTTGCCTCTCAAAATTACGAATAGGTCATGGTCTAGGTTCGAATCTGAGTATAGGCAAGCTTTGTTTCGTAGTAGAAACCACCCATATGAAGTAATGCCTATTGACGTAGACGCCGGGTGTAAAATAAGAAAAACACTAATAAGATAGGCGTTCTTTATCTTAACCTTAGTAGATATTTGCCTCACCTAGCTCTTAGCCATTTTCTCGTATGTAACAAAAATAGCTGTGCAGATATCCTCTTCAACTTTGTCCACTGGCCCTGGATTATCGTGTCGTACCTTGCCTTTAGGTACCCGGATAAAAATACCTCAGGAGCGGTTATATAATTTGGCCGGCCATTCGATATCACTTTGCCTGGAGGTGAGCCGCCCACTGCAGCGGTCTTTAATGAAACGATTATATAATTAGTTACGTGGAGCGATAAATCATTCGGTCGAGCTCTAATGTCTGGCTAGCGATTTGGACGGCAGAATATTTCGTCTGGTAGCGAGCAGACTTTTTGAGCAAACGAGGAAAAATGATGGCTCCAGCTTACATTGATCATTCCAGTGCATCGTGCTAACTCTGCCCTAGTAATCGGTGCTTAGTGTACGTCGGAAGTATATATGGAAATGTTTCCCATCGTGACAGAGCATACGTACATATATATATATGTAAAAGCCTCACAAGTTATATTGGGCTATTTATGAATAAAATGAAGAGCTTCAGCGTATTTTTGTAATAGATCTATGGCAATCGAATGCACGATAGTAACTTCGAAACGACTGCATGCCTTTTGTAGCTATCCTCAGATGAACTGTCGCTAAGAGCTTTCGTTTTCAGTCTGTCATCTGGTCCTTAACTATCATCCGTATGCGTGATAGGTTTTAAATGGATTGGGTGGATGGAAGGACATTGTCAATATAGGATCGTTTGCTTGTTGCGTGTCATCGCTATTGAAATTCTAACGATGATTATATTTATCTATAAGCTATTATATATTAAGTATGCCTAGATTACAACTGAACGAGGACAAACCTTATTTGAGGTCGCTGATTAGAATATACTCCAACAATATGAAATGGCACTGATCAAGCTAATTGCCCCACAAAAGTTGTCTAGATTTTCCATTTTCACTTCGAAATATTATCGGAGGTTTGTCGGAAATACATCCTAATTTCACGATACAGGTTGCATGCGCCACTGATGGCTCGCTTAACCTATAAACATTTTGAAGTGTTAAGATGTCTTCATACGATATCTGAAGCCTGATGCGTTCAAATGTACAGCCTGAAAACTGCAAACGACAACGAATTTTCCTCAATGTGCCTTTCTTTCCATTTGCAACAACAACAACAACAACAACGTTTCTATCTGTACGTGTCTAAAGCTCGTCTCCCGGCAACTATTTACAGTCGGCTGAAATTCTAATAAATAAAGTCGATTCCCCTATCCCACATTGTTGTAGAGATCTCAGCATCTCAATAGCGAGAACCGCATTTAGACGATGACGTAAAACTGGCTGTGACTCGACGCCGTCCACTTAAACGATACGAGGTAATTAGTTACCTTTGTAAGGATAACTAATACGCTACGCAGTTTATGCTGGTGTATACCGAGCGTTTGGTAAGTGACATCAGCAGCGGGGCAGTGTGAACTTGAACTATGGCAACAGTGAGGACGAGTTAATGACAAATCTCTATGAGTCAAACATCGAAGCGTTTTATGAACTGTTGTCAACAGACTCAGCACCGGGTAGTTGTTTTATGGTCAACGACGAACGATCACAAAGCGAAATAGGCCGATGTAAAAAAAAAAACTTTGTTAGCTGGCTGACTAGGACGCTTCGAATAGAAATAAGGATCAATTGATGCGAATCTGTCAACATCAAATATACCGCCATATTCCATTAGGGACTGTTTATTATCTATTTTTAAAACAATTTGTGTCCGCGCAATTTTTTCACGACGCTTAACTTTAGACTGAGCAATTGATTTGTTCGTATCAAGCCCGTATCTGTTTTCATATGCAAATCGTAGCGGTAAGATTTAAGCAGTGCCTTACCGCAGCACTAGCGCCTGCCAGTTTCATACCTGCAAAGTCTGCTGTTCGTAGTGCGTAATAATTGCTTATTCGGAAATTGTTCGTTTATTTGATCTAATGAACTGGATTCAATTGATAGCCTTCTGTTATAGCAGTCTGATAAACATTGTTGAAATAACATAGCAGTTATTTATCACGAAAACCTGCACGAGCTCAACTTATTAGCTCATTGTTTTTATTTACTAATATCCGGATATATGTAACAGCGCTCATATACGGGACAGATCCATGCGGCCGAAACTCACTTACTTACATTAAAGTATATAAGTTTTCTCGTCTCATATATGTTGAAAACGTAATTTGGACGCTCTCAAGGTTCATGTTATTTAGGTCGTGCAATTTTGAAAATGTTCAGTGCTTTTATAGATTGCCACCATAAGCATGCCGGTTCGATTGGGTTGGTAAAGCTATTTTGCAAAAATTGGCTACAATGCTTCTCCGTTTAACTGAAGTCCACACACGATATCCTCTGAACTGCGCCCAAAACAGTTATTGCGTAAATTCAAAGGCCAGCCTTATCACCGAACCACGTTAAGCTAAACGGACTATAGAAAGACACACATACTAAATAAAACTGAATAACATTTTTTACATATACAAATGTGTGTATGTAGTACGATAAGGCCGCATTGTCTCGCACGCAATATTAAATACAAGCTAGGAAAAACGCCTCATGGTAAAAAGCTCACATATATATATATATATATATACAAAAGAAACAAATCGTCAAGAAGCGATATCTTGTATACACCATTTTATAGGAGCATGCTGCTCAACATGTGTAATTAAATTAAGAGCATTGTAAGTCATATAACACAGATTGTTTTTTAAGGCGATTTTATCATCAGTCTGTGTCCGCTCGTCAAAAGTTTAGACAAATATGGGCATGGTTTAGAATGTAAGCAATACAGGATTAACCCAAACATAATTTTCAATAGTGGCATTAATGGGCACCCAAAACAACTAGATCTTAATATTAGAATGCCGCCGGCCAAGCTTTGGTTCTTTTAAACATTCGATGATTTGGTAATAGGCGACTGTTCAGGATCGTTTGTATACTTGCCAGTTATTTTACCAAACTGGAATCCGTGCTTGTTGACTGACTCGGTAGTTTTACCTTTTCGAAACGTATGCCCAGTACCCTCACCAATAATAGTTGAATCTCGAATCCCAGTTGAGATCGAGTGTTATTCTGAGAATCAATATGCGTATTTGTAGGATTTTTTAAAATTCACCCATGCATTTTGAATTATTATTAGTGTGAGATTTGTTAAATGAACGAGAGAACACTGAAGTAATTATTTCCTGTTACAAATAAAACAAAAAAATAATAATAATAAAAACTTGTCGGTTTTTCTTCACGTGTAGCATTCGTACGATGTTCTTCAGTTAACTTGGGCTAAGAGACGATGACGTCGGTTATTGAAGAAGAAGGCCTGTGACACTGGTATTTGGGTAACAAAGCCGTCACTGGTCATAGAATTTACGAGAAAATTTGTGAAAACCAGAAACTATGTCCATGGCATCCATCATGACGTATAGCTTCCAAGTGATGTTGATTCTTATTAGAAGACCTATATAGATAGAATGTGTATGTAAACCCACTTGTTGCTGTTTGTATAATAATTTATATGTACAAGCGGTAATCATTCATAGTAAATACATATAATGCGTATAAAACATTTGCTATTTTAAACACATATTACATTTTGCCTAATTTGTGTAGTACAATTAGATTTAAATATCGTATATTGATTCAGTGGTGTACATTTAAAAACGTGCTAACCAGGTAATGAAACACATGAATCCCACCCAGGCTGGCCTTCATTTCCGAACTTCATGATGCCTTCACTGCGGCAGATGCCCTTCCTTTTACTGTGTTCAACACACTTCTGCGTATTCCGTATCTCGTGTCGTCGCCCGTCTTTTGCAATCAGCGATTATTTTCCGGTAGACGTTTGCGCCAACGCAGTTTCCGCTGTGGCGTGGAGCTTCCAGTGGCGAATTTGGCAACGACTTGGCTGTGTGCGCTTTTTCCAGATTCTCCGCAGCTGTTTCGCGAACGCGACGCCTCTAGTGGTAAACTTGACAACGGTTTCATCGTTTACCACCGCTGAAACCCGACCTGGCAGAGACGTCACTGTCGAAATAGAAAGACGCTTTTGAAATTGTGTAGTCCTCGGCAGCAGCATACTTTGTTATTGGAAGTGCTATTACAGAATGTGGGCATCGGATTTAACAGATTGTCTTCATTAATGTGCTAGACGCCTTCAGACGTGGACTAAATAAATCTCTTTTGGTCTGCAGTCAATTAGTCAGCGGGACTATAGTTGCTTTTATATTCGGATGTTGTGCCTCCGGTCCGGTGAGATCATAAAATACTTCGCTGGTTGGGACTAATCGAACAACAGTACTACAGGATCAACTACATGGAACCCGAAATGTGGCTGTGCTTGGCCCTGCTTTTCGCCGTTAGTCGCTACCGCCTGACAAATGCAATTAACATATCGATTGATACGTAGTCTTTGGCGGCCTCTATAAATAATATTTTTTTGCTTGATGTCCAACTGTTAATCCATACACAGTTTTTAATCGATGTCTCGGGTAGAACTATTGCTATCGTTGTTAATTGGCATTCTTGTGCCGGGTCGCCCATCTGCCCCGTTAGGACCAGCAAGAGTGGGCGGAAAGTGTCGAGGAAAGTGTCATCATTGATATTACTGGCCTGTGTCGTTTTGCCCATTTGTCTCCTCCGCCGAGCAGCGGCTGCGTTGTCGGGTAATAGAGCAGCTTAGTGGTACCATCGTAAGCATCGTCTGCCCTCTGTCACTGATGATCTAACTATATAAGCGGTGAACCTAACCTAGCTAACGTAAGCTCCTGCCGGACAACCATTATAAACTAATGGGGATGTAAAGTGTTATTTTTTTTTGTTGTGTGAACGCAACTGCCAACGCCTCTAGACTAAAAGCAACTTTTCGTGAGCACCTTACAGCATCTTCCTAGCTTTCGTACTGCTCAGACTAAACAGCAGCAGCAGCAACAACAGCAGCATAATAGAGATATTCGGATGAGCGGCTCTCTACTTAACCTACACTTTTTACTTTATAAATGTTCAGTGTTCGCACAGTGTAATGCGGAAAATGTTCTATGTTTGTGTGTGTTCGCCGCGTGCGATGAGCCTATTTCCGCTTTGAGCTGAAGTTAGACATTCGATCGGGCACTTGACTCCAACTATAGCTTTGTCTGACTCACGCACAAAAACCTCGAGCTGGATGACTCAAAATCTACCCGAAAATAGTGAACTGTGGAACGGTGAATCACAAGCTTCTCACAATTACAAAAAAAATGGCGCAAGACAATGCCTTCGGCAGAAAGCTGTTAACATTGATTCTGGCATACGAATACATTCAAAGGTATTGACTGGTGGTAAATCGACATTGCAAAGTGAGACTTCGTCTTCGACACTTCTATATCCACCCTTTGCACATTCGGTTCTGAGGAAGAGATCAGATCGGGCATGAATCGGCAAGACAGCTTCTGAAGATCAGGTCAATGGCCTTAGGAAGCAACAGATGAACTAGTAAATATCTGTAATTCAAGGTTCTAACAGCCACGTCGAAAAAAACTATCGGCAAGTACTTGAGCAGTTACGGCAGAGCTATCTACAAAAATGGCCGAGACGATAGCACCTATAACATAAGCTGCCCCGCCCAGGCCTGCCCATGGCAGTTCCCTTTCTCAGCTGAAGCGGCAGCATCAGCACCGGTATTGCCCTTAGGAAACGTGTCTGGCCTCGAAGTATACTGCAATAACAATTGTTTCGAAAGGCTTTAGGTGTTGCTTGAGATCTTCATTGCATTGGACAAGTCGTTTTATTGAGTGGATACGCTAGACAAAGAAACGAAGCCTAACAGCGATTTCTGAGAGGAAATTATACGACAATAAAATTCTGTGAAATCGTTTCTTGAAAGCAGACTCTTGTTTTGTTCGTTGGAACTTAGATAGCCAACAGCAGTCTATTAGGTCCATGGATCGACGTTGCGTTTTGCATTGAATCCTGCGGCTTTCTGTTAGCACAGTTCGTTACCAGAGATAATGAGCAACTTACAATTGTCCGTAATAAGGTTAACATCAACTAACTTATTGGGCTCATCTCGCGGATTTGCATTTCATTTGCGGACATACATTGCTGTACTATCAAGTTTAGCCAACTACAGGCCGAGTTCAATGCGTTTTTTATTGACGATTTTGGATGTGACGCGCCAGTAAACGGCGAGTGAGCGAGCTAGCAAAGGATGCGCTATCGATTCAAAGAGTCGCGCCGTAAGCGGCGTCTGCTATCGGTGTTGTTGCAGGTAGCAGATCGAACAATGCAACGGGTGGCTCGATGTTGCGCGTGTTGCGGCTCTGCCTCCCCACCCAATGAAAACCAAGGAGATGACTCTCGACAAGACTGTGATTATCAAGCAAATCAGCTGCCGTCGAACGGCCGCACGATGTCATGCAGTAATCCGTGGCAACGTATCGAGGACTGTCCCACGCTACTACGCGAGCTTGCTGAAAGTATCGAAGATTGTACTGATCTAGCCGTAGCCTTAGAATCAGCTGGTCTACTCCTTAAAGGTAATAGGGGTACAGATGATGTGGATTTCCCAAAACAGGCAACACCGATTCTGCCTAGTGAACTGTTAAAGGCTGAAGATCGACTGAAGTTTATACTAAACAGGATTCCGCTGAAAGATGAAGAGTCGTATCGACGATTTAAGCGAACCCTCATTGAGAACGGTGAGTTTAAAGCCGTCGATATTTTGCAGCCCCCTAAAGAACTATCATCGTCCACCAATGCGGTGTTGCCCACTAGCTGTTTATGGGACACTGAATTTTCTTTGGGCCAAAACAGAGAGCACCTGGATACGAATGCTGGTGAAGAACCTCCAGGCACTCCATTGGTGGGTGCAGAAAAGGCCTGGGACATGATTAGTGGAAGTAGTATAACAGCGACGGTACTTACAGCTAGCGAGGAAGCAGTTCCAAATCACGCAAGGCAAGCCTCGGTTCAATATCTGAGCGAAGAAGGAGTACGAGACTTACTGCACCGAGTCGCATCTCTTGATGACGATAACTTGCGCCGCTTTCGACGACGGATCGCTCTTGAGAACGCTACCTGCGATCCTATTCAACTGTTACACGATGTGTTACAATATTCGCTAGCAGCAACGCAATCAGAACAGGCCCAGCCTATTGTTGACCCGTTGCCTAAATATATTGGCCCTCAGAAATCTAGGCAAAGTGAACCGCGTTTAGAGTTTATGCAGGAAGAGGTCGATGCTCGAGTTACACCGTTGGGAGCTGTCGTTTCGACTTCGACGCAATCGAGGACGGATGAACAGGTGCAAGTTAGGGCTGCTGAAAGGCTGGTGCCAGGTGGTCCTCATGTGTATAGCATGGCAGCACACCCTCGAGGTCTTTGTGTGATCTTCAATATACGCAGATTTCCCGGTCTTCCTCATAGAGATCGGCCAGGTTCGGATTTTGATGAAGAACGAATGGTGCGATTATTCCAAGCATTCAACTTCAACGTCTGTAGCCATGTCGATCCAACTTCAACTGACATTCTATCCTTGTTGGAAACGTACGCCACTCTCAACGTGCAAGAAAGTCATGACGCTTTCGTGTGCATCATCATGTCGCATGGCGAACAGCAACATATCTACGGGAGTGACGATAGTACGGTAAAGTTACAAACGATCTTTGAGCTATTCAATAACAACGGTTGCCCCGCCATGCGAGAACGACCAAAGATCTTTCTAATTCAGGCGTGTCGGGGCTACGTGCCCGATAACGGCTCGGCGGGTCGACGGGATGAACAGCAAAGAGCCAGCAGCAGCTCCCATCAGCAAGAAGAACTTGCCAAGGTGCTAGAGAATATTGGTCTCGATGACAATGAAGAGGAGACGGTTGACACGGTTCAGTCCGATGCTGGTGTGATAGGAGGGACCTTACCTCGTTCAATGGCGGGCGCGGGGGCTGGCGCAGGAGCAGAAGCGCTTGCGCGCCAAAATCCTGAACGTCGTATCCCATCATGGTCTGATATGTATATAGCCTATGCGGTTATTGAGGGTTACGAATCTCTGCGTGATTCAACTACTGGCAGCTGGTTTTTAAAAGCGGTCTTTGACGTGATGGCTCGCGAGAGTCATAGATATGATCTTGACACGCTTATGGATCGGGTCACAAAAAAGGTGATTGAACGGAGCCGCCACGATGGTCAGCGACAGTGTCCGGAAATTAGGAAGATTGGGTGGCACAAGAAGCTTTTTTTCAATCCGGGCCTATGACTGTAGCAAGTTTGTGCAGGGAAGTAGCGCCTGGAAACCGACAAATGGACTTGGGCTGAACAACTGTACATGTAAGGAACGTCAGAAGCACACTCTTCGAGGATGCAACCTTAAAATTTCCAGGCAGCAGAGGTATTGCCTACGTATGGCAACAGTACTGCTGCATCGACACAACCATTCCGTACGACAAACACCCAGTTTGCTCAAACCCCGCTAGAAACATACAGTCTTATTCGTCCGGGAAAGGTAATCAGTTGTGTATGCACCTATTGAGAACAGTAGTTCCATAAGGAGGTATTGCCGTATTATCCTAATTATAGCAACATGCTACCGGTTTCACTCAATAACAGCGAGCAAAGTCTATAGCTTTTCCTTATGGTAAGGGCGTTCCGCGTCTATTCAATGCAGTGAGATAGTCGAAGTTTTCGTCAAGTTTAAAACCGTTTGCTGATCGTGTGTTAACTGCCGCTGAGTGTTACACTGTTCTGACCTCTTTTAAATCACTGCAAAGACTAACATGGACATACAAACACGCATATTCGCACGATTAGAATAGTTCTATTTGATGCGCGCATGCTGTTAGTGTTAGTATATCACAATCGCTCAATATACTGCTTCATTTGCAGCTTCAACGTGCCAGTTGTTGTAATTGTGTAATTGTGTAGTCATAATATTTTGTATTTAGATTACACTGTATTTCTGCGTGAAGGATTTGCGTCAAAAAACACATAGAGTCACTGGGAAACGCAAATCACCAATAAAATTGAATAAAAACAAGAAATTTAAACCTGGACTGAGCACTGGGGGCAAAAGGGTGAATCGTTTCTGAATGAAAAATAATAGCAAAATAGAGGTTCTCGCTTGTGTAATAGATGAGATTGTGTTAAGAGCAAATGAGATTTATTAATCTGCTAATCGCCGTTAAACTAATAGAATCGTAGGTGACTTCCCACTAGCTTTCCGTTAAATTCATCATTGTTGACATGATAGCCATTTTAAATAGGTAATGAACGGTTACCGAAAGCATTGCCAGCTGATACTACTTTGTCTCATTAATTATTAACCTGTTACATTAATTGTGATATGATGATGGCTATGATTTTTTTTCGAAATTTACCGTTATTTTCAATATGATAAACAGTTGTCAATCAATTTTCAGACATCTGCATTAGATGTAAAGCCTAACGAAATATTAAACAAGCAATATTAGACGCGGAAAAATATATAACGGGTTCAGACACAATCGTCGGAAGTACCGATGCCCCTTCAAATCGTATGTCCGATCGTAGTCAAAAAATTGATATTGCCAAGCTATAACCAGTGCCTTTTATACAACATTGTATGAATGTACACTACAGATGTCTTCATTGCCATAAGACACTGGTCATTATTAGATTATTCTCCTCTTGATCTAAGCCAGGCCATCACGTTTCTTATCAAGATCAGTCCCCTCAAAAGGTTTGTAAATTCAGGACCGTTTAATCACCCGTATACATTTTTACGATATACCTGTTACAGCTAAGCACTATATAAATGAAGAGGAATTTCTAATTTGACTAAACGAGAAAACAAACGTATTCATTGTGTATACAGGGTATATATATATATAGACCGTCTTTACATCTAGTGCGCGCTGTTTTTACATAGAGCATAAGCTGCCACAACAGTCGCAGTATTCGCTGAGTACAGAATCCACAACAAGCATGGGTGTAGTGTGTAATGTATTGAATAACACGACACCTCTGCAAACCTAATATTATTATTACTAATTTTACTATAGTTGTTGTTAGGTGAAATGACGCGCTGCTCCTGCCAGCAAGTTTAGAGGGTTGGGATTTGTAGAACGAAAGTGATAAGGTGACTGAGTTGAAGGGAATGGAAGGATAACATACAGAATTTCTCAAAACTGCCATATGTAAATATGTATTTAGTATATACAGAGACAGAATATGTATTGTTCAAACATGTAAACGTTGTTTCGGCAACATCAAAGTGACAGAGTCTCATGATGATCAAGAGTGCGTTAGATATCAAAGGAAAAACGCTTACACGAAGTACGTCCTGCCAGTAAAGTTAGTTATTAATTATATGCAGAGACACTTATAATGAGTTTGATGCAGACAGACTTGTTAAAATGAAACACTATTTTGAGAATGAAATGAAAATTGAAACGACTGTTATAGCACGTGAATAAAAAAAGCATGGAAAACAACGCATGTACGGTATTTTTCCTCCTTTTATATTATACAGATTTTGACAACTATAAGTCTTGTGTTATATGTTGTGCATTTGACAAATATGGATTTTGAGGAGCCTTTGGCTGAAAAGGTATCACTGGTCCGAAACTGAGATGCACGGTCAACAGATACCACCTGGATAATTAACAACGATTGACAGCATGTTTAACTGGATGGAAGGTGGAAGCGTCGATCAGGAAGCGTCTGCGCGTAGCCTTGTTCCCGTATAATCTGTGTGTGGCAGTACCAGAAAATGTTTTTAAATTTACTCAACAGAAACCTGATGGTTGCTGAAACGTTTGTTAAAGATTTTGAAGAACAAAAAATCAACAAAAATGCATTCATATATTATTGCTGTATTTGAGATAGATGTAACAAGCTACAAAAAATTACGAAAACAACGAAAAAAATGAAAAGTCAAAGCGCGGGCCAGAAACCAGCTTGCTAGCTTCCATAAAACGAAGCTCGACTAAAAGCCAATCTTAAGGTCCTTCGAACAAGCTCACAGATCCTTGTTTAACGAAACGGTAAACATTCGCTACTCTAAATGCCTTATTATTACCAACTTAATGATTAGACGAGTTCTTATGTTATATTATTATATATATTGTTATATATATAAAACTCTTCAACAAATGATTGCTTGTGCGCGCTTTTTGCCAATGCAAGTATGTCATAAATTGTGACCCTTTTACCGTAAGTAGCAACAGAGTTCTGTACAGTCGATCTTTGAATGGCCCAAAAATTATCATGCTTGGCTACTAAAATTTGTCTAAGTAGTCGAGAGGAAGAATAGCGAAGTGGGCGTCTTTTTCTAAAGTCAGCTTCATTGCACTTGCATGATTACACATGACTAGTAAAGATGGCTTTTCTAGGGAACAGCGAACAATCGCGATGAAATGCTTACGACAATCTTCAGATGTTTTGTTTGTGATCCATTCGAATAAGTTTGCCAAACCTTGGTTTCTAACGGGCTCATCCATTAAATTGTGTTCAAATTTAAAAAAAATTGAAAAAAAAAGTCAAAATGCATCCTATAAAAGAAAAAAACACGGCGGGACCCTTGTTTTTATCTGAAGACAATAAGGCGACCATTTTAACAAAAATCGGCGTTCTCCTGATATTGTTTGAATAACTAATTTCGCTCTTCTAGGCGCAATCTGTCTCAGGGGATTCATTACCGTCGGAAGGGGCGTCTCGTCCAGATTTTAATAATAATTCCCTATTAAAACTAATTGCACGTGCAAAAAACCTCTTTCTGGGCTGCCGCACGAGAAGCTTATCGTGCTGCGCTAGGTAATCATAATCCATTCTTTCTCTGTACGCTGGTTATGATGCCAACACTTCCGTACGTTTATGCTCAATTGCTTAGCAAATTCGTATGCAATGTAGCGTCTTTACATGTATCATGTAAAAGACGCCAACAGACGTACGTTAAACCAAGTTCCTTTGAGGTATCATCAGCTGCAACTTTTTCTGTAACCTTGCAATAGGGTCTTGCTCATTCCAGAAACATAAGCTGCCTCTACAATGGAAAGGCCTCTATTTGCAATAGGCTTAGCTACTTCTTGCACAGTCTGCATTCTGTCTCTATGCTTTCTTTTATATTTCAAAATTTTTGGTCCGCGAGCAGCCAGCCACTACAGCAATTTCTACAGAATGAAGCAATAGGTGTGATCTCGGTCACTCCTGCACAAGCAGTTGCAATAAGGAGTACTCGAGAGGGTTGTTTACAATAACAGTCTGATGCATAGCATCTAGCGCTGATCAACTGGATATTGCGTTCAAATAATTTAGAAACACGGTACATTTAAAATTATAATATTGGATTGACGAGAAGTTACTGACAGTTTTCAGCCATTGAAGCGAATATTTTTTAGTTCTTAACCTAATAGTACTAGAACTAGATTTGCAACTAGATTTGCGTTATGATGATCGACGATCTTCTGTTATTTGTCTGATAACACCATATTCTTATCACTGTAGACTATGATTCTTGGGCAAAAAATTGTGACAAGTGATAAAATTAAATCAACACCATTAAAAAAGCTTTGCAGAGACCAAAATGGGTCATATTCTGATGGCTCTAGGCCTGAGCTATAGGGCGGATGCATAAACATTTCCTACCCAAGTTCTTTCAATTTTTGCAATGTAGCTAAAGATATGTGCAGTCTAGCATTGTCATAATAGAAAACGATGTGTCTTCTGTTTACTAGCTTTGGTCGATTCTTTGCAACAGCTGGTCGTCATCTTGTTAGGTGCTGGCAGTAAAGGTCGAAATCAATCGCCTGCCTAGGCGGCAACAACTCACAAGGCACGATTCTGTTCCACTCCCACCAGACATCTTGTTTGGTATTAGTCAGGGCTTTGCACGATATTGTTATATACGATGAACTTCAAAAATCTCTCGCTTTCATTAAGTTTACGCAAAGTTTCTCAGACGGAAATGCAATCGAGTAAATTATATGCATCAATTCATGTGACACGCAATCATCGACCTTTCTCTGAACCGACTTTTTCAAATGGTGTAGAACTGTTTGGTGGTGGATGCCTAGTACTCACGTATCAGGCTTGCCAAACTTTCGCAATCATTCCAGCAACTCTCTTCATCACTGGTAGACCTCTACGAGAAGTATCTTTCACATCGGAATTTCTGGAATGAAAACACAAGAAACATCTTTGGGGGGCCATTTCATCCGGCAGCGCATCTTGACCATAAAGAGCACACATTTTTTTATATATCTGAACGGCATTTGTGTATTTATCATAATTTATTAAATAGTTTTGGGGAAAATCCAATCGTCCTCAAGACGATTGCCTCAAATCTGAATAAAGCCTTCTCAATATCTTAGCACATCTACTACTGTCAAATCTCAGCTTTCAAATGACATCGACGCCCACCCCACGTTTGAGATATGTGAGCTATCTAACTAGAAAAACGATCAATACTTTTGTCGATACTTCATTAATCCAGGATCTGATATATTTATGGATAACATCGTCTGGTCTCAACGATTCGCTAGGAAAACAATTGTTTTATTGAGCTATTAAATGAATTCGCCAAATTAACTCAAAGCAACAAGTACGCCTGTGAGAACGAGTAGTATAATAGCCGAACCTTTATTGGACCGAGAACTTTCTTTCGAAAAGTTTTCGTCCCATGCCGGGTCGAAACCATGCCATAGGTCCGCGTCGATCAGCAGTATACTAAGCCTGGGTTATGGCGCCGATGGTTTTTTTTCTTTTTGATGATGCTCATCGATGTAAACATTAATATCGCAATTTTTTAAAGGAAAAACCCTGGAAGTGTGGCGCATACGCTCGATACGTCAGTTTAGTATGACATATATACTTTTGGATGTGTGCATGCGTCTAACATGGTGAGTCGTACTCTGAGGCAATTTAAGTCTTCTAAGTACTCTATATAATAAACAATCGACATTTTGTTTCGTATTAGCTATAAGTAATACTGGCTCCCTAACTAATAACTTCTTTATATTATATTATTCATTATATTATGTATATTATAATTAATAATGAATGTATATTACTTTTTAATAATAACGTAGTTTTCTTTAGTTTAGCATTTTAAATGTAGCTTTTGGAAAGACGAAGCCGTTCCTAAAAACGAAGTGGGTATCTTCGTTTCTTTACCGTTAAACAAAAAATTCGTAGCTGTTTAATATAGCCTCAGATTTTGAATACCGCTCAAAAAAATCCAGTGACATAGATTACACGAAATTGGTATGTCTAAGAAGTTCGGAAACTTTGATAGTATAAAAATCTCAAATTTCTGGTTCTCTGGCTAGAAAAAAACATCTGTTCCATACAGCTCCACTTTTCTCTCTATCAGAACAGCTATATACACATATTTAACGTAGATTATGGTATGTGAACGATGAACAGGATGATACTTAACTAGATTACGTTGAACTTAACGGTGTCGCGTTTGTCACCCGTGTTATTATTGAGAATAATTTACGTACCTAAGCCCCTGCTGGACCACTATCTAGTTGCAAACAGTCGACCCAAATTCCGGGGAAGTTGGCTCCCAGTTTTTCATTAGTTATTAGGGATGCACATTTCGTAGAAAGCTAGGTAACTGCTTCAGTGAGAAAACCAATCATAAAAAAACATGCCCTCACTCATTATGTTGGAACTAATAGTTGAAATATGCATCAGCAAATTTCTCAAGTTGATCCGATAATCTCACCATTTAAGTAGCAAAGTTGTAGCATTCAGTCAATACGAATCGTAAATATGCCAATCTAATGATGTTCGATGCAACAGAATAATGTAAGCTGCTTTCAAGTGTATTGAAAGATACAACTAGGATATATAAATTGTAGTGTGATATTTATGGTTTGATAATGGGAATATTTATTTATCGACTTCAACAATAATAAAAAAATAATTATTAGAGGCCGCATCGAATCAATGCCGAGATACAGGTCGATAGACGAGCGTCAATGGCGAAATATTTTGACAAATTCAATATGACGAAAAATCTAATGAGAGAAGTCAACATGACAATAGACGTTGCGCAATCTTGGGATGACCCTTACTTCTCTGTTCACACGGAGCTTTTTCGATTTCCGCGACGATCTCTTCCCAGCTAATGGAAAGCCACGGGTTTACCGCTTGCTGGTGTCTGCTCGTAGTCATTGATCTGGCAGTGCAAGCGTAGGTTTTGCAAAAGGTTTTTCGCGATGGAAAAACCCCTATCTCTCTTCATGTATGACTGGGAACAATGACAGAGCTACGGTATTAGTAATAGTGAAAGTTCTTGTGCTTGTGTAATCTCTGCTATTTGAATCCAGATAATCTGTAACATTCCCCTTGGCTCATTGCTTTTCTGTGATACTCGTATCTGTTTTTGTCTTTAGTAATGTTTCATGTTCAGCAATTAGAAAATATCTTTATATCATGATAGTTCTCACAGAATCATGTTTATTGAACAGCGGTTACTGTGTGCCATAGTTCCTTGATTCTTTCGTCACCAGGTACGACAGTCTGTTATGTAAATACATTTCATGAAACTTATCATCGAAACTTTCGCTAACGACCTAAGCGCACGTAAATCCTCCGAATATTAATGAAAGATCCTGGAAAATCGCGTTGCTGGGTCGCTGCTTGAGCTATTTGTTTCTTATAACAGATTAGCCTAGTGTCTTACGAAGTCCCACAGGTACTCTGGGTTTTTAAGCTTTCCATTCTTTGAAAATAAAATCTAACTTATGAATAAGCAGAATCACATAATGAATATTCCCTAGTGAGATACTAGCCAGGTTTAACCCGGCAAAAGGAAAGGGGATGATTCTTATCAGGAGTCTTTAGAAAAGCGTAGTTGGCTGCATCCCAGTTTGGCCTGCAGGCAATGAGCCTAGCTGAAACTGTCCAAATTTACGTGGAAGTCGTAACCGATTGAAACATAGGCGCAAGTTAATTTTGCCAGAGATTTTTGACGTCGTTGTGTGTACACCATACGGCATCGAAATTGATACCTTTTTCTTATGCTTTGCTTCTGAGGTCTCTAAATAACAACGGCTTAAACTATTTATCAGTCACCCTCAAAACAATCCTATCTTAATATGCAAATAATTTTTTAGAAGGAAGCGAGCGTCAAAGTATATTGGTATAAAGTTGCCTACCTGTCGCTTAAATACGCTACATACACAGAATTTCAACGTGACGCGATTTTGGACTGATTGCAGACGAAAACTACGAAAAATACTAGGCTAAAAAAGTGGGCAAAAGGCGCGATCATCTCAGGCTATTCACTAAATTTCATCTGCGGCATAAAACGGCATCAAAACTCCCGATGTATTAAAAATTACTTTTTGAGCCATTTCGAAAAAATTTTAAGCACTTCAAATCCAAGACCTTCCGGTTTGCCTTGGATTTCTAAGAAGCCTCACTAAAAATGGCAGTAACGTAGACCGCGAATTTCAAACAAAAAACAATATTTTTTTTAAATTTTGGTAAGCTTCGTTTAAACCGGAAGGGTTGGGTAATAGTACCCTTTTCACTTGAATTGATTGCCTTGTTGTGACGATAACAAGTTTTATTCTAATACTATCGACGGGAAAGAACGCCAGACCGTTACGATAAACAGCATGGCAAAACCTGTCTCAACGTAAGTTCAGTGCCCTGTAATGTGCTTCTCATCTCGATTGGTTGGTACCGTGATAAGTGTATACATTTCTGAATTAAGCGATGAAAGTTACACTTTTTGAATAGAAGCATCGCGTCCATTGCTCCAAATTTTCGTTGGAAACTGATACTCTGGTTGCATCAGAAATTGCCCACTATACTAGTCTTCTTTTTAATGAGATATCGGCTATACGATAAAGTATCGTGACGTCACAAAGAAATGTAGTTCTTGTGGAACAGATGGGCCATCAAGCAGTATAATAGCAGTCCTATAGGGCTGAAAAGCCAAAGGTACTCAACGACAGTTCTTCGTATAATAATCATAAGCATGCGCAATAGTAAATCTGGTATATCCATCATCACAAAACCTACACATCATATTTGTATAATTCCAAAATGTTATTTCAGTATACAAGTACGCATTTTAGTGATGCAATATATGGCTTGTTTTACCGAGTTACTTGTAAGTCAACGAAATTCCTTAACTTAGTGTAATTATCAGCCCATGAGCCCGAAGATTAAGATAAAACTCCTCCAGCGTTAAGATCACCCGGGACCCCACGAGGTTCACGTGTTCTCGGTGGATATCCTTTAAGGCCGGATGGCCTTCTACCATTAGGTTAGGGCATTAGTACCATACGAGATCACCCACACTACATACGATTTGAATCCTCCTCAATCCAACGGACAAAAATTAAAATCGATCTCCCTATGTCTGTTAGTAGTTAGTAGTTTAGAAGTGTCTAAAAATGTAAGAGTGCGCATTTGACCAGCTACCTCAATAATATTTTGTTCTTTTTTTCGCAATTTTTTCACTGGTTAGCAATTCATATTACAGCAATAAGAAAAGTCATAATATCCGAAGCCTTTAATACATTTGTAAAGTCACAAAACTACGTGTGTATCTTATTTAAATCCCACCTGTTTATTAGCATATCTCGACGGCAGGATCTAACGTCGCGTATGATTATTAATTATTATTATATATATATATATATATATATATATATATATATATATATATGAATATTAAGATATTAGTAATGTGTTCTATACAACAAGTGGATTTGATTAGGTGCTTTATCGTCGCTTACTTGTGTGCGCATTGCAGATGTCTATTTGTAAACGTGACGTCTGTGCTATTTCTAGATGTAATATTCAATTCAATATTTTATCTTTAGATAAATAATTGCTCACTAATAGCGATTCTTTTTTATCAATTGTGTTCAAACTCTCACAGGTATTACACCCTGGGTAAGACAGAAAAAAGATCAGAGCTACTAAGTGATCTTTTTTCAGTCATATTGAATGATTGAAAATAGGTTTTTACATTGTTGTATATTATTTGTATACAATCATATTACAATTTCGTTTTTTAATATAAAGATTAGAAAACAAGATGTTTTATGAGAAAACATGGCTTCTCGTTTTATCTGAGATTTCATTACTTTATGTATAATTAGTTCATTATAACTTACCGGCTTTGATAGGAGAGTTAATCAAGTCATTATACATACTTTATTAATCGCTACTAGACCTGAAATGTTAAACTATATTAGCGTCCAGCCAGACAACACATGCGTAAAACAGCCCATTTCCAGTAGAGTGATTTATTCAAACCTTAAACCGTACCAAGGCAGTTTAAGGTTTGGCAAAGGACCTTTTGCAAGGGGCCCGAGAACTCCGGAACATGATGCAAAGTTTAGGCTTATTCCTATCCTAAGAGGTTTCTGAGAGAAATTAAGGGATCCCGCTAGGCAAAATAACTATACGTATTATTGACATTTCCAAAGAAAATTGCCTTAGATCTTTAAAAAATTTATAAACAGCGTCGTTTAATAAGATAGTGATTTGCATAAACAAAATATTTACTGGATATAACATTTCAGACATTTTTAAACTAACAAAATACTCACGAATTTTTTTATTCAATAAAAACCTAACGATATCATTAATCACCACGTATAACAACAATGCGTTTGCCCCTGAAGAATACTACTTCCGCGTATGTTATGCACAGCGAGAGATGTTGTATAAATATAGATAAAAATATGATGTTCGTATATATAGGTGTATAAATGAATCTTTGTATATCGCAAAGGTTCATTAGTATTCACCAATATGCTTTTTGTTCTTCCTGTCATTCGGGTAAAAATTTTTTACATCATTAGCCTTGGTGGCTGGGTCGAAATACCATATTTTACAATGACAACTTTGTTGCTTTTATCTCTTCGACACAAAAGCGCATCGAGCTAGTGGATTGAGGATGTCAACAGACAATTTCAGGCAGCTGCAAACATCGCATGGATTCTGCTGAGTATAGCAGTTGTCTCGCTTTCACTATATTTAGCTTTGAGAAGACACAGCTGAAGGGTGGCCATCATCTGTAATAAAAGTTAAGTGACAACGGAAAACAGTCGGTGACGAAGATAATCCCATGAATTGGATTCTGCCATAATAAAACCGTATTGGATTGTAACTAACAGCTAAATACACAGTGTGTTTTTCAAGTTCATCTAAATAACAAAGTAAGAGCATATCATATGATTAGTAAAACGATTAACAGTATGACAGTCGTTGACAGACGCAATGAATATATCAGAAAAAAATGAGCGTTTGGCCGCAAATTAAGCGTTCCATTGAGTCCGAACAAGTCAAATCGGATCACAATATTCGAAAGCAACAATAATATTGTTACTCTATGTATGTACACGTGTGGCCAGGATAGCACGTCGTCACTGGTACAGCAACTTTTTTTTGCGATGATGATCTCGCTCACCTTGTCAAGATTTGTCCATTCACTGTTAAAGCTCTCTTGAAAAGGAACTAATTCTCCTTGAGCGTTGCCCCTTAAATCACGAATCATTTCAAACACAGCTTCAAGCGAGGGTCCTAGCCCGCCATCATCTCCACGGATTACTTTCGGTTTCAGTGAGAACGGACAATATTCCGCAGTCTGACGGTGTTTTTCAACGACGAAACAGGTCATTTTAGTGTGTAGGCGATTCACCATCTACAAAAAAAAGATCTTAAAAAGCTATGAAACGTTCGACGTACCAAGTCCAGTACATATGATTTAGGTAGACAAAATAACTGCTTTAGAGTACTACCGTTCTATTAACCTTGCCAGCCTGGTAATACGGGCTAAAAATGAGTGCAACAAAAGGCTGTCCGGCATTTCCATTAAACATATTCTGCAAGTCGACTTGTAACGTCAAATCCCTCATTGAAGGTTGCGGAGCGAATGTCGGATGCGAATGATACCAGCCAACGACGTCCAATCCCCACCCGCGGAATGTCTCTGCAGCCTCGTATTGACTCACTGAAACAGAAAGGCTATGCCTTATATCGACCAAGAAACGAACTTTTCATTGGTGTATGACGTTTAGCGTCCAGAAGCGAACGAAAACAGCGAAATGATAAACAAGAGTTACCTGATACATACACAACAAAGGACCTCGGAGGGATCTCGACGCTCGACTACCCTACGCTAGGTATATCATCAGCGAAAGTTCTAATAAGGAAAATAGACGAACCGGGATCCATTTCGCATTCCGTTCCATTCGCTCTGGTGGTCCGAGTTGGAACAGCGGCCATAACTCGAACGAGATTCTCCTCAGCGATTCCCCCGAGCAGACCAATTACTTCGGACAAGCTTTGGTGTGAGTGGCTTTCCGCTACGAGCAGCGCAGACGCGCATAATTCGACGCTGCAAAACGAAAAAAAAACTGCTTAACATTAATGATTCCAATAAAATGCAAAAATCTGTGTAAATCATAATCATGTATTGAGCATTGTGGTACATTAGCTATTAAACAGTAAGTTGGTTTACTCAGAAACAGGTATCAAAAAAGAAAACAGTCTACTATGTCAGGTGTATATATACATGTACAATCCTATGTTCAATTTATTAACTATCGAACTATCATTAAAACGTGTAACTCAATAACGAACATCTACGTTAAGTGATACTTGAATATCGTACACTCACTTGAGTGGTTGGCAATCCGCATCATATTTAAGGCAGTGAATTAGCTTGAAGGGGTTCGTTGCTTGAGAGTGCCGCACAGATGCAGGCTTTTCGTTAACGGCATTTTCATACGGCTTAACTAGGGTTGTGGCAATCACTTTACCGGTGACGCTGTCGTGTTCCATGGTACAGCCCCCGCGTTCGATATCAGTTTGACTTACAAAAGACTGGTGAGTATTAATCTTTCTTCGCGGTCGGGAGACCTGAATAGGAGATGATGACCAATATTAGCTCGCATTCGTTTGGAGATAACCTCATGACCAAAGATTGCTTTAAGTCTTAAATCTGCGAGAGACGTAAAGATACAAACAATTATCTGGTAATAGAGATCTAAAAGATTAGTCATAGACTTAACGATGTCGATTCTATTAATCCGACGGCAACTTCGTGTTGAACTAAAGATCAAACTAACTTTTTTTAGTGAAGTTGAATCGGGTGCGGTACGGTCCTTTTTGGCGTTTGTTTGAGGGCAGCCGAAATTGATAGCTCCGATCCTTTCGAGGTAGTCATGAATAAGGCCAATACAATTGACATCCCCACAGTTCTTCAATCCCATCCGCGAGGAAGTCTTGTTAAGGTACCTAGGTTGTTGTTTAAGCCAGAGTCCAATGATGTGATTCCGTATTCGCAAATAGCGCTCTGGTGTTTTTTGGCCACTTTTGCCTCTAAAGTACTCTGCGTTCGCTTCCTCCTCGAAAGGCAGAACTCGGTAGGGGTCCAGTCGAAGCTCACTAATTGGGGCAGAATTAGACGAGTGATTATCCTGCGTGCTAGAGCACGCTACAGCTTGAATAGGGTCGGACAAAGTCGATTTCTGCAAAATAAGGTAACAAGAAGCCAGAATTAACTTTATGATCTCAAAGGTATTCTGTTGAATTAGGAATGTAACGAATCGAAGTTGATGTACCGCTAATAAGTAAGTTTTTTTTCATCCACTTGCAGGGCCGAAAGCTAAAATAGTGATGCGTACCTTCTTGAATGACTCGACGTTCACGGCAATTAGACGTTCCACTGGTTTGTTTGAGCAACTGGCACTCGAACTAGTTGACGTTTCTGATTGGCCAGAGTTTCCAAAGGCCTCGCTTACATCGTCACAAACCCGAATTTCTTCATCCGACGCTTCAGAGTCCTTCGTTATAGTCACAAGTTCACCTTCATTTGCCAAGACGGGATAGATACGAAATGTTCATATTTTATGTGTGGTATTTCTTATTCTAGTACATTGTAATTAATGCGAAATTAGACTGGTACAGAGCTAAATTTTAGTTTCCAATATGATCTCTGTTTATGTAACCGGCCTTACGCTTGTCCTCATAACGGTTACTATTTGAGAACTAGTGGAACGACAATGAATCACAAACTACGTTTAGATGAAAATATCAATAAGGGTATTTATTTATAACTATTGCATAAGAGATTCAGAAAAGAATCATTAAAACATGAAAAAAAAATGCAGATGACCTAGGCTTAGAGCAGAAAAAACGTAAGTATAGAGATAAAAAAAAATCGAGATTCTCTTTAGAAAAAAAAAGACTTGCAGTTGACGTAAGTGCTGCTTCAATTGCAAGCCCCCTTTTAGTCCACTCTATTATATATAAGTGTATGTGTAAGCCGAGTATCGACATGAACAAGAATTCACCAGCATCAACAAGAGCTTTCTTCATAGGTCGTTTGCTCGAAGATGGCTCCTCGTCGTCGAAAGATAGAGCTGTCACAGCATTTCCACGACGTAATCTTCGCCCCCTGGAATCCAGCCGCACAAAACCGCTCCTTGTAATAGCACCATGTCCTTGCACTGACTTAGCAGGCGGTGGACGCTTTGCTGACGTCAATTTTAATCGATTTTTCTGTTCATTCGGCCGCTCTTTATCAGGCTTCGGAGACGTGAATGACTCCGTGAGTAACAATTTTCTGGCGTGCGCTTTAACCTCAATCGCGGTCCGATTCAGCCGTTTTGCAATATTGTTCCACTGTTTACCGTTTTCTCGCAGCAAACGCGCGAGAGCATCTTCCTCGTCTCTGGTCCACTGACCGCACGGTGATGGCGAATCAAGAAAAGACGTTCCAAAATGAGATGATGCAGTGTCCTCAGCGAGAATCCGCTCAATCTCGTTGCACTGTGATTCTGCCGACTGTAAAAGAAAACCGGGAAAATGAAAAAGGGACAACACATATTTGTAAAGAACAGGCAAATAATCATTATTCGGGGAGTTCGCTGTCATTCAAGAATGTAAACATCGTATGGTATTTGCTTAGTAAGGTAAAGATGCATACCCAGTACTAAAATAATATACGCATTTCTATATATACTTTCAGGAGATATATATATATATATATATACATATATACGCATATATACCTTTTTCAAAGGGTACTTCAATGACATTGCCTTCTATAAAATGTAGATATGAGCAAACAAAAGAGATGCCTTTTTATACAAAGTTATCGGGTCAGAGATCATAGGGTTTAGAGCCAACTGAAACAGGAAAACTGTAATGCTATGCGAATGCTCTGGTAGAACCTCAAAAATAGAGAAAAAATAGAACGCTTCAGCATTAAGACAGAGTAAAAAGGCTTTTTAGCTAATTGATTTTAAGGCCATTGATGAACAACTGTACCGAATTTAAGGGCGGAGAAAACCCGACTTATAGGAAATTTTGCAGCGACAAGAATTTCTGACGTGTATTACAAAAGAAGCCCGGGGGCTTCACCTTGCGTCCTTTTTGCGGTTCAATATTTTTATAATTTTATCTTATAAATTATAGTCCGGGTCCATGTCAACGGTTATTCCAATGTTGTACAAGCTCTTGTGTAGCTCGTAAATATAAGTAGTACCTTGTAACACAACAGAGTGTAGCTTGAACGTAGGCTTTTTACAGTTACCATTAGCGAACATGTTAATAAACTCTCTCGGGAAAATTAGTTTCGTGACTGATTTCATAAGCAGGCCATCATAAGGCACAAATGATAGCTTAAAAAGGAATCTGTTAAAAACAGAAGCGATCTGAAACGGCCAAACAGACACAAAACATTTCGTAGCATAGTGAATACATTACTACAACACTGGGCATCACACTGAGGAAGTTGCTTGGCTACGAATAGCCAGATTCCTAGCAACAGCTGGCAGTAAAAGGTAGCACAGAGCGGATAAAAGGCTAAGGGTCTTTGAAGTAAATACTACCTGTTTGGTAATTATACAAAGCTCGATAATTTAATTTCCTGTCAAGCGCGAATTCGTACGTCAGAAATGTTTAACTAGTCGAAACCAGATTTATACTATTCCAATATCCTTCACTATTATCGGCAATCTATGGGTTACCCGTAGTCAATTCAGGGACACCTGCACATTAACCATAATAACTCACCATACCAACATCCGGACTAGTCCACAATGGTTTAAATTCATCTTGCAGTACCGCCGAACTCTCGCTCAAAGCACTGAAAGAGAAAAGGGACACTCGTTACAAAACTGATTACTAAACTTGCTTCACCCATCTATTTCTCCCCACATTGTTCACTGAGTTTTCTGTAAGCTGAGCGCCATTTTCGTACTTCGAATCAGGTGAGAAGTCGCCTTCGACATCAATATTATCTTCAGCAGCCATGATTTTTGTTTACGAGTAAACGTTCGTTTGCCAGTATCTCGTTCGTATGGGAGCCGCCATTTTGGATCTACACAGCGAACAACAGCTGATTCTGGGTTAGTCATGTCGACTGCAGTTACGCATGAACGGCTAAGGATCCTTGTTAGCATTACCCACTAGCTCTATATTGCGAACGTGGCGGCAGAGTGCAAATAAAGGACTCTGTACACTGAATATCGAACCGGCGTGCTTTGCCTTCAGAATTGCTCGGTGATTCCATACATAATATCATAGTAAAGCTACTTTTGTAGGGTGATATCAGTGCGCTTTTTATCTGCAAAAAGGTAAGTGATGCAAATATATCTCAGTATCGGCTATACGTCGGATACGGCATCTAAATGTTGCTTATCAACTACTTAATTCGACGTTTCATTTAGCCTATTATAAAGCATCAACAAATCTCAATTGAAATTACCGTTTGTGCGTTATTACCACTCATAAAGTGACCATCGGATGATGGTATCTTTGGGTCTGCGCATATGGGTGTGGAGTGCCTGAACGCGTGTAGACCATTAAATATAATGAAGACCATGGCTATTTCCATGTGATGTCACTACGTTTACTCTTTCTCATATGATAACCACAGATGGCAAATTCAGAAAGAGTCGTTCGATAGGCGATATCATTACTGCTGGTGGAATACTTGTCTTATATATATAGTAATTTTTCATATGAGAAGCCTGAAGCATTTCAACTACAGGCCGACTTCGTCTCAATCTGTTGTTGTGTCCTACATGTACTAATTACTGACACCTCTCTGTTCCTTTTCTTTCAAAACAATACTCTAGCTGCTTCTGGACAGCGGATAAATATGTACAACGCGGTGACAGATTGAAGTACGCTTTAAGTTAACCCACATAAAGCTGCTGATCTCAGCGTCGTTTTCGGCAACAGTGTGAAGTGATTATACCATTGTTTGCGTTTTACCGTCGCCTTAGTTGTAGGCGGAAACATTTAGTGGTAGAGATTTTCATTGCCGTCTACTCCAATGCCTGTTGCTGCTGCTGTTGCCGTTGTTGTCTGATTGTTTTTGGCGGTGACGGTAGTGGTGTGGATATTTAGCCGGCGTCTGCGAGCAGATCCTGCTGATGTGCTTGTGCGTCGGTAACCGTAGCCAGGAGCCTAGAAAGGAACTTTGGTGGACAAAAAGCCAGACAGAGAGACAGGTGAAGGCTGCTTATGGCCATGGCCATGGTACACAGCGCGTTTGTGTAGCGCATAGTGCGTTTTCACCCATAAGCCTGAGTGTTACTCATTATCAGCTATCGGCTAGTTAGTTCGTTGACTGCTGCGCGCCCACGCGCTGTTGCTGTTCGAAGGACTGTCGCCGTCGTCGACGCTTCTTCTGGATTACCATCGCACGATAATACCACTGTCATCGTCAGTAGCGCTATCATTGCTGCGAGCGTGGCACGTCGTTTTTCTTCCCATTTAGGAGGCGTTTGCCGATAGCAACCACAGATTGTTAACCACTGGCCGATGATCAACAGAGAGACAAGGAGACAGTAACAAACTGTGCACGGATTTTCCTTGTAGAGAACCGAGTATCGCAGTATATAACGGAGAATCGAATGACCGCCGCAGTTGTTGCCAATGGCAAAAACGACGATTGCCTCTTCCACTCATTGAGGTCTAGCACGAATCCTTCCATGCCCTAGCAGCAATAGCAGCGAACGATAACAGCACTATTAAGTGACAATAGTTACGTTAGCGGAGACCATAAACCGTAGTTATCAAAACCAGCCTCGGCAAACCAGTGTCAATAAAAACAACAGCAAGGGCAGCAGTAGCGACGTACATCGTGTGTATCTGTGTCAAAGACGCGCTCTCGTCCGTGACGATTTCCTTTCTTACAGCGCTTCTGTCGTCGCTGCTGTTGCGACTAACGCGTCAACTCAAGGTCCTTCGACACTGACTCGGTCCTGTTATGCACTGTTGTGTTGAAATGCTACTGCGGATGCTGAACGGTCGTTTTCATCATGAGGCTGTGTCTTTGTTTGTTCACTCGTTTATCGGTCGCCAGTCAGTATTCCGCCTATCCATTGCCTCCTTACCTCTTTACGCGGCCGCCGCCGCTGCTGCTGCCGTTGCAGCTGCCACTCTAACAGCTTAGACTGATCCGAGTTAGTCACGTCTTCGACCTCTCTCAGCGAGATGTCCGCCAGCCACCGTCGCCCGCCGCATTGAGTTGGCTGGAACGACAGCAAGAACGGCGGCAGCTGTGAATAATATCGACGGCGTGTTACGATCGTCGCTAGAAAACGCGATTGAGAACAAGCAGGAGTGGCTGGTTGGCAGCGACGTTTTGTATCTGTAGAGGAACACAACATTGTTGTAGCTCTTCTGCTCGTAGTGATCGTATTAGTAGGGATTACGAATCAGTGGTACATGATTAGAGACGAAATCTGTATGAGATCCGTGTGGTAGTCCGTCGTTAATGATCATCTTAGCCGTTTAGCGTATCGTGGGGGTGTTACATAGTGAACAGCACGACATAGCTGTCCTGGCTTTAATGATTTAGGGACGGTGATAGGCGGGCTCTGGGGAGCTTTGCGAAGTCGAAACTGTTTCGACTCGGCGCCCCTAACGCCAAAAACTGTGGCTCGACCAATTTTGCGAACTCGGTTTAAGTGCGGAGGGAAAATCGATAAGATGGGAACTGAAAGCAAAGCCCGCGCTGATACAGTCGATCTGAATGACCCGTTACCCACTCTGCTGGTCGAAATCTCCGACGCGCTAAGCGAACGCGACATCGTCAAGTTTACCGTGCGGACCCGCTCGTCGCTAGCCAATTTCGACAAACCTGATGTATCTGTAGTGCGCCAACATGAAGAATTTTTGTGGTTACATCAGGTGCTTGAAGAGAATGAAACGTACGTCGGCTACATAATTCCGCCGGCGCCCCCTAGGCCAGATTTTGATGCCTCTCGGGATAAACTCCAGCAGTTGGGAGAATGTGAAAGTAGCATGACGGTTGACGAATTTAATAAGATGAAAGCGGAACTAGAGGCCGAGTACTTGGCCACATTCAAAAAGACCGTCGCCATGCATGAAATCTTTCTAAAACGTCTGGCTGAACACTTGGTCTTCCGGGAGGATACGAACCTGCATGTGTTTTTAACCTACACCCAAGAATTATCAGTTCGTGGAAAGAATAGAAAGGAACGCATTTCTGGTCTATTTTCGTCACTCTCAAAGCAAGCTGACGGCTTGCTTCTTCAGACGACTCAAAAGGACATTGATGAGTCATTTGAGGCGGAACGCATCTTTCTCACGAAGTACTTCGATCAGCTGAAAGAAGTAACCTCAAAAGCCGACAAGATGACCCTAACGCATAAGAACCTCGCCGATAGTTTCATCAAGGTTTCGGTCCAGTTTACGGCGTTGGTACACACGGACATGAACAGCGACCTCGAGAACTTCTACCCAAAAGTAAGCAAATGCATGGAGAAGGTTCGAAAACTTGAAGGTCGCATGAGTAGCGATGCTGATCTCAAGCTCTCCGATGTTCTTCGCTATTATCAGCGTGACTCGGAAGCGGCTAAATCCCTTCTGTATCGACGACTTCGAGCGCTGGCTAACTACGAGGCGGCCAACCGCAATCTGGAAAAGGCTCGCATGAAGAACAAGGATGTTCCTAGTGCAGAAGAGTATCAAAAAACCACCTGTGAGAAATTCGAAGACATCTCAACCCAGGCCAAGCAGGAACTGCGAGATTTCCGTGCGAGACGAGTGACCAACTTCAAGAAGTCGTTAATTGAGCTCGCAGACCTTGAGCTCAAGCATTGTAATGCTGAGGTCGTCTTGTTGCGGGAAACTATTGGGAAGCTTAAGATGGATGTTGTTAAATAGATCGATTACAAGTTGAACTGAGGACTTATTTACTATTATGTATTATCATTCTTATTATTATATATTATCATTAATACCCATGTTCGTTGTTGACTTGCTTAATGAGCTGTTAACGCTTTGTAATTTTCACCAAGTGAACACAATATAATGATAGGTGAGCGCGCGTAAAGTTAAAAAATGTATGTGTTGACGAACAATCAAGTCTGTCTTTATACAAATGTTTTTTGTCTGCGAGATTTTTTTTTGTTTCGTTGCAACAGACAAGTTGAAGTTTAAAAGTATTTTTTTTAGTTAATTAGGAGAAAAAGATTGCAAGAAGTCGAATACGTATCGTTGTTAGGTTATGATCGTAGCAATATCGAAGTCATGGACAATTACCAAAGTAAGTGGTTAGTAGTCAAACGCAGAGTGTGTACACGTAAACAACTCATACGTTATATGTATGGGCTGTTTCGTCAGCGCTGTGGCAAATATATTCATCGTCACCCATCACAGGTCAGGTTTCATTTTTTTAAACGATCTAGATATGGGCGTCCAATTATAATGGATCAGCCAGATGAAATACAAAAAGGTATTTCCGTGTTGGTTCAATTGATCGATATGATTTCATTGCTGCTTCTTATTTGGACTTTTCTATTTTTTTTTTGCTCCTAGCGTATGATGACCACGAAAACAGGGTGAAATCCCTGTGGAAAGCTTGACCCAATCAATTTGATGGGTGGTATTAGGTAAGGCACTATCGAGCAGTTGCTCCATCTGATAAAAAAATAGTTCCTGGATAAGCTTACGTAGTTTTTGTTGATAAAAGGTATAAACGGGGATACTTTTTGTCCTCCGTAATAAAGGACTCATGGAGATCAGCAGGTAAAAAAAAAGGGTCCCGTACTTGGTAAGACTTGTTTCGACGTTTTTATGCGAACGTATTATCTACGTTATCAGAATTATCCGACTGTGTAATATATGTAACTGCCATTCAAAGTACTTTTTATCATGACGACGTAATAGTTATCACCAATATATACACAATTTGTTTCCACCAAATGCCACTGATGCGTTGTTGACTAAAGTAACACAGCAATGTTTTAGTGATGGAAGCTAATTACTGTAACAGAAAGAATGGTCAAATAAAGGTGTTGTTTATTGATAACTACGTCTATTCATTAAGTCTGTTGATATTAGACTGTTGGGAACAAAAAATATTGTACTTCTATCTAATCCATGGATACATGTACTGACTTTGGCAGCCATAACCTGAATATTCGTCTATGTGTCGCTCAACGGGGTTTGCTGACTGTAAATCTAATTTGCTCTACTCGTAGAAGTAAACAGGCGTTTAAGGAAAACCTGATATTTTGACTGTGATTTCAGTGTTCTTCTGGTACATTGTCCATATTCCTTATTTGGTCCTAACTATTCAATTATTAGAGCTTTCTATAAAAAGGAGTTTATGCACTAAAATCATCATGGGGATAACAATATAAGAAAAATAGCTTTTCTGAGTACTTTCAGCGTTTGTGCCTTTGATATTGTTATTATCTACTCACAATATTACGCATTAGGAAAAATTCTACTTTGTTGTGAAATTCCTATTGACCAATATTACTCATACACAAGCACAAAGACAAAAATACCATTTTCGAACGAGGATAAAACCTGATACGAAGTCGGGAATATGGTTTTAATCTTTTGGTGGGTAACGATATGATGAACACAAAAGTATTTGATTAGTTTGAAGTACAGAGTAGTATCGTAACTCGTCAAATGACTGCCAGTGGACGATGCGCATCAGTGGATATCTCCTGTGAAAGCCATTATGTATCGTTATAATTAATGTCCACTTATGATCATTAATATTAACGTCGTTCAAGCTATGCAGTTATATGCGGCGGCACATACTCCAGCAGGGCCCGACTGAAACAAGTTTTATCGCTTATGTAGCGGACGTAAAAAACCTGTCCTTAGATAGGCTTTTCCACTTTCCACATCCATAAAAGAGGTGAACTGAGAAATTGACCTTTCTAATCATGTTCTGTCATACCAAATTTCTAGAGGTCGCGTTTATTCTAGACATGAATCAATCAGACTGTCAACCAACGTTTCACGTTTAATCAGGTAATCTTAACAGATTAAACGTGTTTTATTTCGTACAGATCCCGTTTCTTGACGATTGTCAATTTGAGATTTATGTAGGTTTATGAAGTGTTGCCTTTTCCGTCCACTCTTTGCCGAACACTAAACACCGAGAAATTTCCCGAACGGATTCGACGTTCTCCATGTTAGCCGTAGACGGCCGTTTTGTTTAGGCTATGACACAACATTAGTTGGCGTGGCATATATCGAACTCTATTTGTACAGCTCGAGCAATGTCTGCTATCTATGTGTTAGTACAACCCTATCACAGACTCGTCTCAAATGTCATCAATTTCCCTACGCCACTGTGGTATTATAGCCTCTAACCTGAGTTGGCTCAACACGTCGATAGACAACAGGTCTGCATCTAAACTTTAGTAAGGCTTCTGCCAGCCACAGGCGTCATAGAATAACGTTTAAACCACTGAAGTGAGATATGCGACATAGAAATGTTTTATAGGCCATCTGTCAATAGGATTACTACATAGAATTATCAGATTACCTACTATTTCTGCTTATTAGTCAAGAAATATTGAGAACTTTGCAGCAATCGTGAACCGACCTATCCGTTGTCCTTTCCGGTTTATTGAACAAATATGTAAAGGGAGCAGTTAAACCAACTTCATAATACAAATTAAATAATCGTGGAAGGGCAGGATCAACAAAAAAAAAAGAAGGTCGCGTATCGTATTGAATTTTTTATTAGGCGGTGCAATTTTGTCATCAAATTAGTGTTGGCTCAAAGACACGAGGATTCGCGATAAACTGTCCAACGCATAGGCCTATCTAAGAAAAGGGGGTTCGTTAATTGCGTACATTAGAATGATCTAATCATCTTTATTATAGATTTATTGACGATGCAGATGAGTCAGAGTACACTTAGAGGCTTCTGTGTTGTTTTAGAAATGACGTAAACGCCCTATTTGTTAAGAGCACAAAATCGTTGTACGCTAAAGCGGCCAAAGGCATTGTAGAGGACATTAAGGTCTTAAAGAATGATTTAACGGCAGGTAACAGGCTTTAATAGAGATTGTTTTGGTTTACCAATTGATTCGAGGTTTCTCAACTCTTTTTATCTATAAAACAACGTAACTTCCTGTGCCAGTTAGTTAAATATGTGTGCTTGTGTGCAATATTTATCCGTGCTACATATCAGATCCTAAGCCCAAATCTATGATAAATATTGAAATTGGGCACGAGAAGTGGACTTTGGGAAGCTCTAGGAACCTTGTGCATACTGAAATTGGAAAACGGCCACGTCAATTCGAAGGTAATTAGAAAAGAAGCTGTCACGTGTAAAACAGCGTTGAAATTGGTATTTGGGTAGTAGGCACCTGAAAATCTCTGTTCGACTTGATTGAGCGAAGCTAATAACAAGGAAACAGGGAATAAGCCTTCATCAGAAGTATCGTGTTTAAGCCGTGTCGTATAAAACACTAAGAGTTTTCTAGAAGAGCGTCCAAGCCATTGTAATGCGAATCGTGCTGCTTAAATAGTTGTCTTTTTTTTGTGATTAAACTGGCGATACGTTGTATCGAATTCCTACCTTGACGCGTTGTATTACAAACTGAAGCTGAGGCTTATTTGTCAGAGACATAGGCTAACAGAAACTAATCTGAGGATAGTCCCGTTAAAATAATCAACTACTGCAGCAGTGTTTCTAAAAAATTGGCAGAGCATTAGGAAAGTTGAGTTCTTCATCTAATGATTGGTTTCGCCCTTAGACGCTGTATCTGTGGTTGTACACAGACGATGAGCTATTGGAGCCCGTTTATATAAATAATAAAAAAAATGTTTACCTAATTATATGTGGTGAATATAAATAGAATCATAAGATACTTCCTGTAGTAATTACGTCCACAACACGCAAATCACACTGAGAGCCAACAACAATAATCTGTATCATGGATGTGTATTACAGGCAACGGTAAAGCATTAAAAAAGACACTGTCGCTAACTACATGAAAAGAGAGGTTTGTAAGTGAACGCACTAATTATATAAGCTACTGTTCTTAAAAGCATCTGAAGCAACCTCGATAATATACAATGCAGTTATTATACGCATTCATTTAAGTCGGGACTCAAAAATCAACGATCTGTTTTTTCATTTGCTCAATATTTTGTGTGAATAAAGCCTGTTATTTTTTAATTGTTAACAACACTGATGTCAGCAATATTGAAATAACAAACGTTAGAAACGTAATTAGCTTTCACGGCGAAGACAACCAAACACTTTCATAAATGGTAAAGCTACTCGAATGTATCGAACGAAATCTGTAAAATGATTTTTCTTCGATAGAAATAATCCATTGTTAGTCTATTATTATTCCTAACAAATTATACAAAGTTATTATGTAGCTCTTCTTATAACAAGACCGAATTTATCTATTATTTCTATTAGATTTAATATTGGATTTCGTAGATAACACGAGTTCGAGTCTAATAATACAACAGTTTTCGTGCGTTTAAAGGGCCTGTTTCTATGGGTCGCGTCCACTTCACATGGCAACGTGGGAAGTTACGTAACTGAACATAAATTCGTGTAACATCTTTTCTCTTGTGCCGCGTCTCTGATATTTGTAACAGTGCAGGAAAGAATGATGCTTCAATTGCGTTGTCACCGCCCGTTTCGGCTAAACGCAGATAACATGGTGATTACTAATTATTAAAAATGGCTATCAATACAGTTGACTTATTCTGCAACGATTTACGATTCGTTGCATCTACTAGTCAAGGTAAATTATAGGTACTTAGGTAAATTAAGTAAGTACTTAAGTGAGCAATAATGGCGCATTCACTTTGTTTATGGTGAATAAGCTTGCTTCGCCCACGGAGACAAGGTTATGTAGTCAGCTATATATAATTATCAACCTAGAAGCGATCAAGAAGAGGCTATCTTAAGAAAAACTAAAATATGGCCATTAGCCGCTTGGGCTAGTTCACTCCATCTGACCTATTTGCATATCCACATGTGCTCATTACTACGCAGGCTAACGCCGACCGATTTAGACGTACAGTTGGGCAAATTTCACTGACAGTTGACCATAAAGCCGAACTTTGCACACATTCGTTTATTACTATAACTGCTCGTATTGACCAAAAGCAAAAGACAATGTTTTTTTTGCTTTTGTTTACTGTCGAACGTCCATTTTCGTCGTAGGTAATTTAATGTCGAAATAAGCTCATTATGCGAAATTGATTTAAATATACACCCAAAATTACGTACACCCAAAAAAGAACTAATGTTTTCTTACACCTATTTGGCTTACATGGCCTAAAGTCTATGTAAAAATTTATTAACCTAAAATATAGTACGATCATTTTGTTATACATAAAAAGTCTATACAGATAGGGTAGCCCTGGGCGGAGTTTGTGGAACAATTCTATCCAAGAGGCCGCTGATGTGTTCTAGGGGGGATTTGACAAGAAAACATCAGGCCCAGAGTGTTCATGTTAAAAATACAAGTAGTAAATGGCCAACAATATGGAGCCAGGTGTTGTGAGCGGTGAATAAGGGATCTTGGCTAACTCTCGGCTTAAAAAGCTAGGTACTTCTGGCCATTATTAGGAAATCTGAGATGCGCGACCTTTACTCCGATGCTCTGCCACATCCGTATCTATGCCCACGGCAATGTTGGCGTATTTGGTAGCTATAGACCTCAATCTTTCATGTTTTTATTTGACTACCTACCTTTCTTGTGTTTCTGAGCCTGTTCGAACGATACGTATCTGATTCATCTTTTTGTTAAGACATTGTGAAGCAATATCAAGGTTGCGTTAGTGCAATGATTCTATCCATTCGTAACAATTACATTCTAGAAGTTAATTTTCCTTTTTTGCTATATGGAACAGTTAAAGATGACAATTATGATCGCAATTGATTTCGTCTCGACGGTGTTTCAGGACTTCGACGTACAATTTGCGCCAAAGAAAGCTTTGCTTTTGATTGTCGTTACAGCTTGGCAAGATAATGCCTCAAACTGAAGGCGAGATTCATATACTTCTGGGCCTTACAGGAAGCGTGGCCTCGTTAAAAGCCCCCGATCTTATTCAGAAACTCAAGAAACTCGATATTCCCGGACACGAGATCAAAGTTCAGGTAGTTACGACGGAGCGTGCCAAACACTTCTACAGTCAGCTTGAAGCCGAAATAGGTAAAATAATGAAGACAGAGAGACAGGTCTGCTTTGCCATTTTATTGATGTGAATTCTGATAAGAATCACTTTTACGGGCGATTAGTTCTAAAGTTCACTAGGCTTTTGTGGAAAGAATAAGGAACCTCACAAATTTTAACTTCCTATCAATTTATGGGCCGACACCATGAAAGAGATTGATTCATATTTAGAAATGCAGACTTGATATCGGTCCCTGCTTGCAAGTTAACAATAACTGATTTTAAAAGAAGTGAGCTTTTGTTCTAAATTAATTTCTACTTTTGATGATGCTGGCAGTGCACGACGACGTCGCGGAATGGAGTTCATGGAACAAGAGATCTGATCCGGTGTTACATATCGAACTTAGGAAGTGGGCAGACATTTTCGTGATCGCTCCGCTCGATGCTAACACAATGGCAAAGGTATTTTACTCCCTGATAGCAGACGTTATTTCCGCACCTACTTTGTTAATAATAAATATTGATTGATATAAATATTCATCAATCGATTTTGAGCACGAAACAAAACTTCACTTCAAAGCCAAGCGTAGATCTTTCTCAATCTTCTCAAATGCCTTAGAACCTCTTGGTCCATTCTGGTCCGTTCCTAAACAAGACACTACTAGTTTTTGTTTGTAATTTTTTTATTGAAGTGGTATGTTAATAATGGTTAACGTTTGCAGATGTGCACTGGCATATGCGACAATCTCTTCACCTGTGTCGTTCGAGCGTGGGACCTCAATAGACCGCTTTTGTTTGCCCCAGCCATGAATACGTTTATGTATGAACATCCACTTACTCGAAAACAAATTGGCAAGCTCACAGCCTTCGGCTATATTGAAATACCGGCAATCTCTAAAAAGCTGGTTTGTGGTGACACCGGTTTAGGTGCTATGGCCAACGTCGACACTATTGTTGAGGTCACTAGGAATCAGGCCAACGGTAGGGTAGTTGGTCGAACATGGAGGAAACTGTAGTAGCGAAAAACGTCAAATCATTTCTCAACCTGACTAATAGGATGGCCACTTTTATAATTAGTAAAATTTCTTTCGTTACAATAACAAGCTGACTGACATTTCTCTAACAAAATGTAAGGAAGTGAAAACTTTACGGTTTTAATCTACTAAATTTCATTAAATTATGTTTATAAGACGAGGTGAACATCTTTGAATCGTTCGGCGTCATGACATTGCATCCGGATACGACGTGCTAAAAAAAAAACTACATTGAATGTGTACCGAGAAAATGCAATTTTCAGACACAACGGGGATTGATTCTGTTTGTATTATCAAGTTTTACTGGATAGAGAAAACCGAATACTTAAATATCTACAAACGAATAGTAAAGTTATGATATACTTGTTCAGTATATCGGGTCGATGCTTTCATAGTTACCTATTTACACGGAAATATCTGAATAAACATAGCGTATATACGAACAAATTCATACGGTGAGAGTAAACACATTTCAATGTAGTACATATCATCAGAATTATATCAATGTATATATGTAATCGTCAGAGATCTTCGTGGGTGTATTTCATTGCTGTACCGGCTCGGCCAGCCTTGATTTCTGACGGCGTCCTAGGCCCATCTAAGTCGGGATCAAGACCTCGCCAAGATCGCTGAGCAAGCATCTCGCCTGCAATTTAATAAAGTGGATAGTATTCGCTAAATATTCGATATATTTTTCTATTAGATTATTAATAACGACGAAACCAGCGCCAGTTCTAGCTATATATATGTTCAAAGGTTCTAGACAATAGCTAAGTAAGTCGACGGTTCCAGCGTTTGTGGAAGTATCATAAAATAAGTGCTTTGGTCCTAGTGTTGTATACCTGCTCCAAAAGGACCAGAGAAGGCCAGAGTGCCAGACCCTTTTATACTAAGAACTCCGTTATTTTCAGTCGACTCATTTGATATAGCCTCGTTTCCAAGTGTTCGTACTTTCCCAGAGATCAACGAAGTCTCGTAATTCAGTGAGCTCTCCATGTCTTCTGGGGTCGCAACATAAGCCGGTCCACCTTAAAAACAGATAGGCGTCAGTAACTACAATGAAAGTAAGCTGATTTAATTAGTGTACTGCTCTTTAGATAGTGGCTGCCCATAACCAGCACCCACATGCACGATGATTGCATAAAATGGCATATAATAGAGTGGTAAAACCAGTACAAGGAGAACCTTTTAAAAAATTTAATCAAGAAATTTGTGTTGATTACGTAACTTCGAAATATAATACCTGGTAGAATATCGTTGAAGTCAGTGGAGAAATGAGCGCCCCATGTTCTATTTGGATTTAGGGCGACTTCAAGTTCGTATGGCGTTACCACAGGCCTGTAAAATTCTTTCGAGTCGAAAAACGAATTTTCTGGACAAGCAACATATACATACACATCAATCTGTAAGCAAAAGCCAACATGAGTATTTACCATTACCCACTATAGTTCAGTGAATTTGGGTTGTACAAATAATGCAATTAATAAAAAAAAAGCTGCCTCGTTTATACAACAACAAGTGTAACATATGAGTTTTATATAAAAGTCAATTACTAAGAATATTAAACCATATTTCTCCGCAACTCGTTACCCACATGAATTTCAACGATCTGTTCAGCATCTTTTGAGATGATTGATTCTGATTGCTGTTTACTCTAGCTACTAAGAAGGTTGCTCACGAGCTGCATAAATAAGTCAGGAAAATGGGTATAAGTCGCGCTTAAACATATCTATTTCGGCAACAAGAAAACATTCGTACCATAAGAAAATGCAATTCTATAAGCGGACATTGCGGTATTTCTCATATAAAATACAAATTACCTCTTGGAAATTGGCAAGTTTAGCAACATTTAATTTTCCAACGGCTAACGTGTAACTTTTACGACCCGCTTTTCGAATGAGCTGTCGAAGGTGGCCGATTACTTGCAAATAGTTTTGCACTCCCAGTGTACCTATTAAGATTCCAATAGTTCGAGCGTCCTTAGCTTTCTCCACTAAAAAACGCCGCCTCATTAAGCTCCGCGATATTGTTAGACCTAAAGAGGTAGAAAAAAAGGTCAAATGGGTGAACAGTCTGCACTCATCTTCACAAAAGTCTGCTTTTTTACATGCCCTAATTGAGAATCCTAGTAACACCGTCAATATATTCGCAAGGGACAGCCTAAAATGGTAAACGTACGTACACTCGTTTATAACGGCTAAGTATTTTATTCAAAATATTCTATCTAAAAAAAAGGAGCCCGACGTTAATTTGCCTTAAGAATAATATAAATAGGGTTCGCTAAAATTGCACCTTTTAATTAAATGCAGTAGCATGATTAGAGAAAGTCTCAATTATCGGAAAGGACGACCTGTCATTGTCATGAATCGTTCTGAATTGCCTATCATCATCATCACTGGCTTGCAGACTTCCTTTCAAAAAAAGACTAGAAAAGCATAATAATGGCACAGAACCTCATGCAACGAACTATCTTTGCTGCTACACTTTTCGTCGCCATGTCATGCTTACGCGAGAAGTGCCTAAATCAAGGTACCAAGCTTACCTAACCAAACGTCACCTCTCTATTGGGAAAATTTACAATATTGTGCTACCCATCTATCATATATGTATAATAATACCCTATAGTAATTAGTGATAACACCAAACAATTGAAAGTATAATAATCGCTATATTATTAAACGGATCTGCTTTATACATTATGTGTCATGATCACAATTACTTAATAACTACTATATATCTCATTAAAACAGAACAAACAAACTTTTTATCAATAGCAATATTATTATTAATTGTAATTGCCAGAGTAAAATTATCATATTAGCGCGGCTCTTCGAGAAAGAAAAACTTCCCTTCCACAGCCACCTCTCTGGGGGCACACACCTATAGTTGTGTTCAGTTCATCGCCTTCTCCCTTTTATCTTCATTTCTCGATAGTTCTGTTTGTAACGTCTGCGTCACCTCCAGAAATTTAGATATGCAACCCTGCCTGTTCGCAATTGGAGGTCTTTTTGGCGTTGTTATCATAAATCTCGCCAAATCTCAAGCGAATGGTTAATTCTAGCTGAATTCTCTTTACGTACCTATTCTAAAATTTATCAAGCTTTTGCTATAGCCTCTACCCCGGCCCTCACCGCTATGCCGCCTTTTAATGTGCACCTTTATTGGACTCTGTATTTAACATACACCCGCTTTATTCGTTTCCATTCCAGAAACCTTCATTTTTGCGCAGGCTACTTCGTTCAATATCATTTTTATAAATCTCTGAATTTCGTCCCGCAACGTGTCAACTGTTCATACTTTACATTTAATGTACACAGGTTAACTCAGTCCACCGCATCAGACAGTCAAGTAACTTGGGTTAATTGTAAGCTATTTGTTTTTTTCTTGTGTCACTTTTTTTCCTATTTAGTCTTTCGTTTCGTACTAATACTTTTACTATAATTTTTTACTCATGTATTCATCAGTGTGGAGCTTGTGGTCTATCGCACGCGTGTAATCAGATTCATCGAATTTTGCAGATAGTCTTCCCGACAATCCATACAGTTTCATTCCTATCTATCCTACCGAAGACTTCTTACGTCTGCGACTAGCATCCATTTATTGGACTACTCCGTCACTATCATCACGATATTTGCGATGTTTGTACCCTGCCGATTCGGCCAATAAACAATACTCATTTATTTGTATTCTCACACTGCTGTTGTCTATTCTATATTTCTTTTTACTAATGTTACTGCATATATGACTGATAGCGGCAGGGCTTTTAGCCACCAAACGGCTCGGTTTTTATTTTTCCGATCTTTTCTGCCCACTGGCATTTCGCGACAAAAATACCGCGCACATACGCATCTTCCTTAACTTTCACGTTTACGTAACACTTTCATGATTTTTTTTCACTTTTTCCCAGCGGTCAACGCCCTTCTTATTGCAAAGCTTTATTTCTCGCCGCTAGCAACACCTCAATGTCCGCCTTGGAAGTACCAAAATTATAGCAACATGCATGTCTCTTTTGTTTTCACTTTCGTTAGTTCCCAGCTAACGAGAACTCTTCACTTATCGTCGACCCACACATCCGGCATATTCATAGCTCACTTTTCCCTACATTTTCACTAATATATATACATATATATATATATATATATATATATATATATATTTTTTTTTTTTTGTTAGTTTCTATGTGTCGTTGTTTTTCTATATTTTGCCTCAATCTGCTTTGCAAGAATTAGAGGTCCCCTGAATAAGTATACGGTACGATAACGTGTTTGTTGACACACACTTTTTAGTTTTCTTCACAGTTTCTCTCCGCACATTCTTTTTGTGCCCATCATTCTTAATTTTTTGTCGTCCTGCGTCGTTATTTATAGCGGCACCGATAGTAATGGGTCTCGTTCAAGGTCCACGACGGTAATCTCTATCGGCGAAGGCGACCTCCACAGCAGATGCTGTCTGCGCGCTAAAGTTGTGCTTGCTCCTCCTGCTGCTGCCGCCGTCGATGAATCCTGTTCGCTACCATCAGCAGCCATGCTGCTGTTACTTTTCGGACAAGCAGCAGTGCCGCGAAGTCCAAGTTCAGCCCGACTGCTTACAGAACGTGCGCAATCGCCACTTAACGTAGAGCAGTCGACATCGATTTTGTAATCGCCAACGAAAAGGAATAACAAACAGAACGATACATTTACTTTTTCACCGGGTTCAATCGTCTCTATAGGTATTCTTTGCGGTCCGTGAAAACAGACACTATCCGACAGTTTGATCGTCTTGTTTTGGTAGTCGTGGTACACGCGTAAAGAAACGAGCAGCTGGCGGAGGGAGCAAAGCGACGTGTTTTGCGTCTCAACCTGCACGCTCAGAGGAACGCCCATTTTGAGAATGAATTCATCGTCAGCATTGTATAACCGCCTTTGCAAAAATATTTCACAGGAAAGCGAAGCTGAAAGGATCGTGTCTACCTGTGCCGGAGACCACTTGCATTCATTCAGATTGGCATATCCACTTATTTCGGGACTTAGCGACCAGCGTAGCTTTACATGACGTTGAATGTGCTGACGACACAGCTCTTCGAGCTGTTCATCTCCCCCAGATGGCTTACATCTGGGGATCAGCACTGGAATCTTGCATGTCTCTTCGATAACAATCGATTTGCCGTCTTGATACTCAAGATCCATCTCCTGAGACGTTCGGTTCTCAATATCCAATACGAGGTAGCACTGGGTTGCCGAGTCGGCCAATAAAACATCCCACTGTGAGATAACCATCGATGGCAGAACAGTTAGTCGAGTTTTGAGTGAGCACCGGCGAGCATAGTTGTTTGCCATGCCCGCCCCGCCTGAATACAAGATATTCATCTGGGTGGAGACTGTGTTCAACGAGGACTCTACGGCGCCGGCGACCCGCAGCTGATTGTGATTTCTATGAGGAGTGTTTGGCGTTGACTGGAAACGTCGTTGTCGAGGCGTGTTGAGCGGTGAGGATGCGGCAGACGAGCTCTTCGCAACGAAATCAGTTGACTTTTGTGAAGCTAAGAAGTTTTCGCTTCCCGTCAGTGTCACGTGGAATGTTGCAGTAGCGTCAGGCCCAACTGGCAGCTGTTCTTTAAGTTCAGCCTCGTCCCACTCAACAAGTACATTGACCGAACCCTCGATGGCGATGTCAATCGTCTCGACAGGCACCGAACTTTTGTTGTGCAGTTTTACCCGGTAGCTCTTCTTCTGTCCGGCGTACACAGTGATATTTGAGTCTGTCTGTAGATCCCCTAAGACTTCAAGAAGTGGGAGTTCCGGTACGCAATCGATGATAAACTCGAAATTCTTTTGGCTTTCTTTGGGATCGTCATAAGGAGACGGCATAACCTTGCGGTGCATCCATGTCGCGTCTTTAAACAAGCACCTTGTCTTCACACCCAGCACAACACATTCGTAACCCAATATACAAACCTGGCCCGTTGAATGCGGGGTGCCTTGAATTTTGACAGCAAGAACCGTTGCCACACCCTTCTCAGCTGGGCCAACAGTGATCGAGGTGGGGTAACAGTCGAATGGGCCCTCGGTGACTAGCCGAAAGTCCGTGATCTGCAGCGCAAACGATGCGGCATTATGGATGATCATCTCTACAGAGGCAACTTCGCCTTTGACCCACTTCGACTTAAAAATACCGCCATTCTCAATTCCAGGCTGTCGAGCGGCGTTCTTGTTGTTTTTTGATGGCGCCCAGATAAAAGGTGTCCCTCCGTCAGGTTGGCTCGCCGCGGTTGGACTCCTCCATTTTACGGGTTCTGCGGCGAGCACTTGAGGCTTGGCTCTAGTCACCAACGGGTAGTTGATTAGATGTATTGGCGGAAGAGGCTCGTCAAGTAACTCGCTCGAAACTGATGTCAGCGTAAGAGGTCCTGTTTCGGCTGTCAATTGGTCCAGTTTTTTTGCGCTTTGATGCGCCTCCTGGGGTTCAAGGAATGGGAACATATAGCAAAGCATGTAGACGCAATGGTGTGCCGCCAATAGCTTTCCGTCCGGCAAACGATCTGCGGTTAAAATGACATCATTAAGTAACGTTGTCTGTAGTCGAGACCATCCAATCACGGGTTCCGGCGTCGAAAACGGATGCCACCGTCTGCCTTCATACGGGTTTGCTATCGAAACATCTATCTGATAACCCTTAAGACTTTTTACCATTAACTGGTAACAGAGTGCATTGTTGGCCTTCATTCCGTCGTGTACCATGGCCGCTTGCACAGCTCCAATTCGCGTGTAAAACGCAGCCTTCCGATAACAACCAATATCCCGGTAGAGTTGCGACACCGCGTCGTACCATCCATACTTCCAAGAATTTTCATTTAGGCGGCAGTTGATGACAATGGCGGTCTGCAAATAGTCGGCGGCCTGTAGGTGTCGTTCAAACAAAGAAAGCAGGCGTGTCAACTTTAGGTTGACTTCGATATGCGGCCCGACCGCGTGACTGAAGCGTTCGTACGTGACATTAGCTTCACGAATCTTCTCCACGATCTCATCGAGCGTAAGCAAGTCACGGCCGAATTGCTTCGCCTCGATCGGGTCCACGTCAATAGGTAAACTCTTACAGCTTCCCGCATGTGTCAGCGTGGGATTACTAAGTGAGACCGGGGTATTCCTACGCGACCGCATCGGAAAGCTCTGGTTTCGCACCAATCCGCCCTTTCCCGGCAGTTGCAAATGGCCTGCAGACGCTGCGCACTGTCCCTCATAGACCGCTCCTAGCCACAGAAGATCTCCGACTGCCCGAAACGTGTCCATTGCTTCAGAATAGAGTGCCAGAGCTTCTTGTACATAGCCCAGCTGAAGAGAGATATCTGCCAACATTTTTTTGTTTCTTGCAAGCCATCGCTTTCGATATTGACGACTATCGACGTCAATGCCGACGAACTCCCTTTTCTCATTCGGAGCAATGAGAATTTTGTCATCAATCTTCTTGTTATTAACGTCCTGCTCTAATCGAACCTTCGTCGACCTGAGAACAATAACGATATTTGCGATGAAGTCGAGTACGTCGCTTTCTAGCTGTGACGTCTCGTCAGGCATATAAAATAGACACTGTTCACGTCGCAGATTGTTTGGACAGTCCGCTTCATTGACCGGACTCTCACTGGGATGAGACGGAACATCTTTGCCGACAAAGATGCACCTTGTCTCAAGGACGGTCTTGTCGTACGGGTCAACGAGATCACCATGTCTGTTGAGGGCTGTCTGAATCGCTCTCGGCCGATACTCGCTGACGGTGATCACCCCGCGCACGGCCCTATGAGCCTGAAACTGTTGCCAATCATTTCTTTTAGAGGAATAATTTGATACGTATTTGACACTTACGCCAGGTACGTCCGCCGACCGAACAGCTCGAACCTTTTTGATTCGACGAATGACGTTTAGCACAGCCTCATTTTTCAAATCGTCTTGTCGCTGGCATAAGACCAAGACGAGAACTGACGAATGATCTTCGAAGGCTGCGTGGTAATCTGCGGCACTTGACTGAGTCATGGCTAACTAGTGTTGTTGGTCACAGTCCTTACGAAGGAACTTTTGTCGTTGTTGTTGTTGTTTTTCTAGGTTTTTGTGGTTTTGCTGTTGCTGTTGCTGCCGCTGCTGCTGTAGTCTTTCGTTATAGTATAGTGCACTATGGCGTATATGGCGCTGCTGTTGTTGATGCCTATACTGGTGAAGCACCTTCCACCATCCGCTCATATAAACCTGATCGATCATATGCGATTGCGACGTCTGACGTTGGAGCATCGAGCTGCTATAGCGACTGCGACCTCTACAACCACTACGAACTCTGCCGGTAAAGACGCGGCTGCCGTTATACCACGGTGGGTCCCCGATAAAGTGCTTTCCTTTTTTATCACTGAAATGCAACTTCGCTGTCTGCCTTTAAAACTACCTGCTCTCAATGAACCTGACCGCCCCAGCATTAGATGCTTGTCATGAAAGTTATTCTCGAGGAACACTGTACAGCAAAGCAGCAAAACAAGAAACCAATTAGAACAGATCGACGGAACCGTGCTTGGTGATACCAGCTACAACAAGAACAGGAAATGGAAGAATTTTCGAAGTTTTAGCTTTTCGAAACTGCTTTACCACTTGCTTTTGCTTTTTTCTTCTTGGGCCACTGATACCCTTAATTATTATTATTCGTCACTGCTGAGGTCGATGGCTCAGTATCAGTTAACTGCTAATGTTTAAAGGACGGCGATCCGCTACGACGTTATCCGTTCAAATGGAACTCCCCCGGGATGAAGCATTAAAACAAAGCCCCCTTCAGGGGCGCCGAAAGTACTCACACCGTTCGCTAGCATTCACTTCTCTGTCTGTCAGTACTCCACTCCAAACCATCAAAATGTACGTGAAACTCAACCTTCTTGAGTAAGGGTTTCGATTTGTTTTCTCTACTGGCTCGTCTGAACAGAGGTACGAACTAACCAATAGATACAGCACGAAGCTCCCGATCAGCTGACACGCAACTTGCGTCAATATCGCTAGTGAGATCGGGATAATCATGGTATAGAATTAAGATAGGTTGTAAGCTATTGTCTATTCTAAATTATATATCAATAACTACCCTAAAATCTACGAACTGTTGTGATCTGGCTCCGACAAAGGAAAAATGGCGCCACTCGTTATGTTCGAACGTCGAACATTTTGATTCACCGATTTACAAAATTGTTGATGAAGACGAACGTGTGCATATATCATTGTAAAGAACAGCAGCGCTTCAAAGGTTAGATGAAAATAAGAAATAACGTCTCTGCCTGATCACTGTGAGTGTTTTTGCACATAGTCGACTGATAATACGCATTATCTTGTATATATAGTACTGTTATTTGGTAAAAATTGGAAGATCATGCGTCTTTATTTTTATGTAGAGCTTGTCTAAGCTTGTCTGAAGTTATTAAAAGAATTTTTTCAAATATATTGCCAAGAGATATACAACCGCATTTACGCAGTACACATTATCACGTACTACGCAAATAAACTAAAATCGTAGACGCTTTGAGTCATCGTGAATGGCTGTCTTTTCGTTTGAGCTTTGGAAGGCGTTAATCGTCCATACTTGGCAAACAAATTGTAACCATTATAAAATCAGTTAATATAGTTACGGGGTTACGATGTCGTGTCAGTGTACTTAACGCGAATTTGTTAGATATGGAATACTTAATATATTTGCAGTATTTTTTATAGTTGAGTATAGGTAAAAATAAAATGCCTCCTGCATAAACTGCGATTTCGAAATATGTAGTAAATTTTTATTTTAAGTGATACTTAAACGACTAGTACTACTTTTGCTATGTATTTATAACCCAATCGTTCCTAAAGAACTGGTTCATTTTTCTTCTGTGACTAATTCGTACGTTAATGCCCATTGCAGAAAGGCCTTATCATGACATCGTTGTATTCAACTTCTCCAAATTACGGCAGTAAAGACCCGGGAAATAATAGTGGACGTAGTGGTAGCAGTGGGACTAGATATATACGCGATGCCCGTGACCGAGGCGACCAAAGCGCGGAATTCGCTTCGTTTCGAAGAATCGAACGTGAACGTATTGGTGAACGCGGTGTGCGAGAGGCCTGGGCCGTTTCTCCAGAACCCCCAGATCATTCTGATGACGACGCACACCTTACTGAGATGAACAAAAATGGTATTTGACGGTTTTCGTTATTCGCTTCTACGCAAAACAATTAGAGCCAATTTAAACAATTAGAGACAGAAACTGCCAACAAGTACGTAAAGATATGTGGGTAAGCTTAAAAAGGTTGATTTTCAAAGATCAGCATGCCATTTCTTTTCTACCCAAATAGCTAACACGTGTCACATAGTGTAATGATAGGCACGTTCTAGAAAAGCAGTACTGTTTTCATGAATATAAAGTTTTTAGCGTAAATATATTTTAAGCGTTTAGTGACCTTCTTGCATTTACGTATGTCTGTAGGAGCTGATGGCGATAAGTCGAAGCGTAAAAAGAAGGCCAGCAAAAAAATAAAGAAAAGTAAAAAGTCGAAGAAAGGTAAACGTAAAAAAAACAAGCATTCAAAGAGATCCAATGATGAGAACGACGGTTCGGAATACGATGAGAATGCAACAAGTTCTGATGATGACTTGTCGAAAAAGAATCATCATGAGAAGAAGCGTAAGAAATCCAAGAGGATTAGTAACAAAAAGTCGAAAAAACGGAAGCGTCATGGAAGTGATTCGGATTCAGACGACGACAGCGATTCGAGCGACTCCTACGATTCGGACGATACCGGTGGTACCATGAAAACCAAGAAAAATCTCAAAAAATCTAAGAAGGTAAACTTATATACATAGATGGAGAGAAAAACTTAATAGAATTTTTTAACTTAATAAAAAAACCCAGTGTATTAAGCAGATGTTATATCTAGAATTTCAACAGTTTTTTTTCTTAAAGACACATATGTAACCTTTTTATATTGTCAAGTTATATTAGGGCAAGCATTTGATAGCAACACAAAAATTTCCTTGTTGCATTGGTATACGTTTTAGGGGAAAAAGACCAAGTCGAAGAAACCCAAGACCAACAGTAAGAAGAAAAAACGAAAGCGTTCCCCAAGCACTTCGTCATCCTCTTCGCAGGATAGTGAGGAAGAGGGAAGTGGCTCCTCTAACGAATGGCAAGAGACTGAAAAGCCAGGGCCTATTCCACAGCAACAACCGATACAAACGGCTAGTTTGATGTATCCATTGGCTACGACTCCCCTTATAGTTGGCGCTCCGGCAAGCACCGGAGTTACTACCTTTGCTGAAACCAGTAGTGTCGTGGGTGGTGGCAACAAAGAAGAAAAAGAAACAGCTCCATTATCGGCGATGGAAAAGGAACAGCGGGAATGGCTTGCAGAACATCGACGAAAACAGGAAGCCAAGGCAGACCGGGATGACGAAGACGACGAAATTGGGCCGCTGCCTCACAAAGTCATGATGCTAACCCACAAGGAAATGGGACGGGCTTTGCTGCCGGGTGAAGGTACTTGTCTTTATGGCGATGTAGGACAAGAATAACCTCACAAGCTGTTAGCTACGCTTAGAGACCATGAGTAGCTTTGGAAAGTTTTGTGACTGGTTCTTTAGATTTAGCACCTTCTAATAGCTTTATTGTGAGAGGAGCAAATTTACTAAATCTTCGCTTGAGCTTTCTCATTTGTAATACTTTTTTTCGATTTTGGGTTTTTGTTATTTCTTGTTTTCTAGGAGCTGCAATGGCCGCATTTATTGCTGACGGAAAACGTATCCCACGTCGTGGTGAAATCGGTCTTACGTCGGAGGAAATTGACCAGTTCGAGCAAGTCGGTTACGTCATGTCCGGGTCAAGACATCGTCGTATGGAGGCTGTCCGATTACGAAAGGAGTCACAGTTATACTCAGCCGACGAGAAACGCGCGTTGGCTATGTTTAATAAAGAAGAACGTCAAAAGCGCGAAGCGACAATCCTTAGCCAGTTCAAACAGGTCATCGACGAGAAACTTAATAAGTAATACGAACTAATAACGTAGACAAAGGTTTACCTGTTGCGGCACTTTATGATACGATGCTGCGAAAAATATTTTCCACACTATTTAGCGATCAATGGAATGTGTACACATACTTGACTAGTTAACTAAAACTAGAATTATATATATATATATATATATATATATATATATAGTAATTCATGTACATAAATAAAAAACCTCTGTGTTTCAAAGAAATTGTAGGCAATACCTTATTACTCTGTTTCTTTTTATCATCGTAGAAGTGGAACTACGTCCTTATTTCATTCAATTATCTAGATAATCCTAGATACGATCTTCAATGTAATTAGCCTGATGTCATGACCGTTCTCATTTTGTTCATAGAACACAATTAAAATGTGAATATTTAATTAGTTCATAGAATTTAATATGCTTCAGTGATTTAAGAGAACTCAAAAGTAATTAATAATGCATTTATCTTATTTATAATAGAACGGAAGTGAACGCTTGCCTTGTTGTTGCAGTGTATTGTGCTCAGGATCATATGCCCAAACAGAGGCAAAGCTAAAGCGCAGAAGTACATTGACGAGGGCCTGGCCTTCCTTGCCTATCCAAAGCACTAAGCCAAACTCTGTCAAAAGTCGAGATGTCGGGAACAGTCTTTTGAGGGCCTGTTGGCCGATCATTGCCGGTTCTTCGTTGCCAGGAATTAATGGCACTCCGATAACAGCACGTGAAGGGAGATGAGCGCGAATAGCATCTGTTATAGAGATTTCAATTCGTTAGAGGAAACGGATTTTAATACAGTATCGTGTAAACCGCATTTACTAAATCGGAAATATTTTAAAGATTTTTTTTTGCTATAAAAGAATCTATGTTTAGATGAATTGAAAAATATAAGAGACGGAAAGGCAAAATGTATCAGTGAGAAACTTTACAGATTACCTTCTACAGAAAAAAATACAGGATATCCGAAAGTACTACTTACCTAATTGTGAGCAATATTCTGTATCAACGATAACAAGAAATTCTTCCCGTTCTTCTTCCCGTTGAGAGTGATTCTCGGGGTCTTGCGAGATGCAAATCAGCGATGGTTCAGGTGTTGACCTAATGCGGTATGCTTGTCGACCTAAACTCGTCCACTCTCTAGGGTACATCCCCAATACAAAAAGCGTAGCTAACCGCGATGGGGGAGACAAACAAGAATGACCAAAATGGATAACACCTTCACATGCTGAGTGTTCGGCCGCTACTTCATCTACGCAACAGCTAGAAATACAGCAAAAACAACAACAGAAAAAGAAACAAAAGTGTGACTATAAACTCACCTATGATTAGATCACCCTTTCACCTTTTTCATTTATTTTATTGTACATTAGAATCGAGTGGTCTTGCGTCTGTTTTGGAATACTAATAACTTACAAATTGAGGCTAAAGGTTAAACTCGGTATCTTACCTTATTAAAAAGTAGCGCAAAATGGATGAATAACTGATTTAATATTCGAAACACTATATCTTATGGGCTGGACATATTCCATATAGTATATTGGTAAGACATTGATTTTGCTCCAAGAATAACTGTGAGTGAGTAATAGTGCCTTCGTTTCTTATCAGAATGGCTCCAGATGGCCCAGTTAGCGCTTCGCAAGACATTTATCTTTTTTTTCTCTAATTATCATGCGTTATCAATTTTCGCCTATGATGCTTACCTGCCAAAACTAGTATCACCCAGAATGTACAATTTACTGTCAGGTACCATCGACCCAAGTTTCTGCGCTATTCGCACCGATTGGGACAACTGCTCATCCGGAAATTGTAATGCAATCCGCCTAAACGAATGATCACTGATCCACTTTGCGCATCGTTCAAGTTCAAAGCATTCGTTGATATCTTCGCCAAATTGGTCATTTGATTTCTGCTTTGCCGAGAACCCCAAATTTCGGTGTAGAGCCTCTTCAGCCGAAGAGCAAAAGGCTACGGCCATTTTGTCGTACCTAAAAAGAACACTGGAACGTATTCAAGCAAGGACGAGCACACGAAAGAGCACAAAAGATTTTGGGGTATCCAAGGTCCCTCGTTTTCGCTAACCTATACGAGCTATCTTCGTATTTCATATTTATTGAACTTTAATATCGATTCTTCCTGGGCATCAAAATAGTTGGTTAACGTATAAGCAACAAAACGCTTCGGAAAAATCACACCGAGTGCCTAACATGTTGTTAGCTATTAGTGAGGCTTCTGAACATTTGCAAAATCGGTTTCAGAGAAAATCCACAGCTATCCCCACAGCGAAATTCCTATCTGTAGGCGTTTGTAGACAATATCAATTTCTGTCGAATTTTCACATCCAAAATAACGGACTAACGAAAGCATTTAAATTGATTGACATGAACGTAAAACAACATTATCAACTAAACATATTTCTTCTGGGTCTAAATTATGTTCGCATAATGTGTTTTAGGCAGAAAGTTAACACTCTAGGTAAAAGGTTTCATTAGTGCAGCGATCCCTTCGATAGACAGTTGAGCATGCTTGAAAGGATCGTGCTAACACGCACTTCATGCAAGCGAAACATCACGAGAAAATGAGTAGCTGTGGTTCAAAAACACTTACAGATACTACATAGCTTGTGATAATTTTACATACAAAGTGTAATTAATCGAATTGTTTAATCCACTGAGCAACTAAGATGTTAGGTACAAATGTTTAAGACAATAGCTTAACAGTCAAAAGGTGTTCAGCGGTACCATTCTTCGTTAAGATTCAATTTTGTGAATCAAACGACAAATACACCAGTCGGCGCCAGTTTTCTGTTCGCTCATAGAAACTTTAAGCTACTCACAAATCCTTACCAAGACGTGACAAATCTACTATAAGATACTCACCGTACAGGCTACTTTACTATTTGATTGGACAACACTTCAAGACCTACTTCTACCAGCCATCGGATGTTATACAGCTAATGTAACGAAGACACTCGTTTTTTTTTATTCTACTTATTATGATAAGTTACAGCGGGACGTTCGAAATAGAACATAACCGTCGGAACACATGTGTTCCAGGTGATTTTGTTTTGATGGCAAAAGGCGCCAGTATTTGAACAGCGAATCGATTCATAGGCGCTCTTTTTAATCACTGCCGCCCACGAATTTTAGAAAATCAAAATAATCCATGAAGGTTGCTCAGTTACCTAATGATACAGAGCATGGTGACATAAGAGGCTTGATACATTTTTATCTTCGTTGAAGTACAACAGAAAAGTTAACAACCTACACACGAGTCAGGATGGCCGAGCGGTCCAAGGCGCTGCGTTCAGGTCGCAGTCCGGTCTTCCGGGCGTGGGTTCGAATCCCACTTCTGACACAACTTTTTAAATATCAACTTATATTTTTTAAAGTAAATTTGCAAGTTTATATTAACTATTTTTTAAGTTTTCATGTGCTCAACTCTAGATCGAACTAACGTACATCATTAGACCGGTGTTGCGTTCAGTTGCCAACTGCAAACCTGAACTTTCTGAAATATGTACTTCTATTTCGATAATTCATACATTTACATTCCTTTAGATAAAAATACAGCTTACTTAAGCGTAGTCCGATGAGATTCTAGGCAGTACTTTACAATCTAGTATCATCTGTTACTAAACTTCTCAAATACTCAGGAAGATGTACTTTCAAATAAGACATTCGCAGGCCTAGGCAGAATACCACCAATAAATTTTAGAGATCACTTTTGAGCCTCGCATATTCAAATTAATTCACTATAGAGATTTTCGTTGTCTCATTTTTCTTTTAAAAAATACAGTGGATGACATATAATAATAACTTATTGATGATAGCTTCCACCTACATGCGTTTCGAGAGAATCATACGATAAATAATAATCTAATGCTTGGGGTTATCGGATGGGCAATAAGCAAGCCCAAATATTTTACAGAACTAAGAATTTCACAACAAAATCTTGCGAAGCAAACAGCACGAAGTGCGCAGGACTGCCCAAATGTAAGACTTGCGTAGTAAAGCAGAAAACAAAAGAACATTTTGTTAGTCATGAACTCGTGCGTTTGTCTGTAACAGTTGTCCGCAACACTTACAAGAGCTTATTAAGTTGGGTTTGGAATATTCTGAAATGTTAGACCTTAATTTACCTGTAAATACCGCACGATGCAACATGCGTTTGATTATTGAATCTATTTAGATATTAACCATAGCAGTACCAAAAGGTTTGAGCCCAAGGAGATCCAGTTTCGCTATGTTCTGCACGAATTGGTGAAAATGAAACGCTAACTTACATCCAATATGCGACCGAGAACTCATATACTTTAAAGAAATTTCACCTTGACAGGAATCGAAAAAAAGACAGGCGGGTCGCTATATTCACGTGTCATATCAGTCAGATTCGAATATTGTAACATATTCGAGGAGCCCTATTATAAGCCATGAGCCACGTAACGATGGGACACGCGCCTACGCGCAGCTTAAGCATTCACCTTGTATGGAAACGGCTTACATTAGTCTGATAGAAAAGATGTTTTTGAGCGAACGTTTCGGCCACGTTGCGAAATACTGTTGACATTCGTTCAGAGTTTCACGAGAAGTAATAAAGTGTGTGTGAGTCTACGTATCTAGGCAATGCATTTGAATATTTCATAAGGATAGCTGCCATCTTCTGTAGTAGCGTAATAACAGAGATAATAAAAGGATTTCAAATTGGAGTCAAACTTTATTAATTTTAAGACGGTAAGTTCGTAAGTTTATTAAATACTCTTCCTTATTTACACCAAGTGTGTATTAGTATTTATGCGCAACAGAAAGGATTTGAAAAACTAACCTCAGGTCATTTTCAAGTATATGAATTCAGTAGGCATGTTTTGTATCCATTTGAAGATCATGCAATGACACCAAATGAACGCAATATATATATACTTGGTTTTAGCTTGCTATGGACTAGCAGATTCGTGCTTTTCTCTCCGTACTTGTATAGCCGTGGACGTCCATTTACTCATAAACCACTCAAGCTGGAACATTCCATATTTCCTCTGTGCGCAATGTAGCACACGATTAGATTAAATCTTGTTTTTTTTTCGATCTGAACTGTGATACGGTGTTCTTGTGAAAAATAAATGTATTGGCGTCCACATTGATATCCCACGGCACACGATAATCAGTTCTTAACGAGAAATGACTGCTTGACGCTGAGGTTCACACTCTGCATTCTTCATGGCGTAGAATTGGATTGGCGGATTTGCATCAAAGGCAGCAGTATGGCCTGCAAACCTTACAGGCCTAAGACCACTGGGGCATACTATTCTAATTTGACAATTATAGCTCCTATCTGCGGGTAGGAGTTATAATTGTCTACTCATTGATATAGCGTTTTTTGGAACATTTATTTCGATATATATATATATATATATATATATATATATATATATATATAATTCTGCGTAAACTTACGTAATATATATATATATATATTACGTAAGTTTACGCAGAAATCTTAACTTGCTCTAACGGAAGTCTTCTACAAATAATTAACAAAAGAATAGTCTTTTTTTTAACAGTATGGCAAATTGACAGGCAAAAGAAACTACCTCATGTACACTCTGAAGAGAAAGTACCTATCTAAAACGAAAGAAAAAAGACGCTAGTTTTATCCAATTGGAGTCCATTTTTATATGGTAAAATTATTCATTGGTAGTGACAAGCGTAAAGTGGTATATACAGAACGCAGGATATGTACAACACATACGAGACGTTAATTTACAATGTTTCAGAAGTGTGTATACGCGCGTGGGGTGTCTGGTCTTGTTTGATTCTTGGGTGCCTGTCTGCCTACAGGTGTGCTTATGTCAGTGAATTTCTACAGGTCTCTTTTGATGTGCTGATCGAATTGATCGTTCGATTGTTAACTTCTCCTAACTAACTATGCTAATTTTAATCTTACACGCACTTGTAAATATCTAGTGCGAATTCGTTCTGGATTTCGTTGCAAACCTGTTTGTTTTTGTCGTCTGCATGTGAAATAGAAGTAGAAAGGAAACCAATTGACCAGATTTCCACTTCTAAGCGGAAATAGGTTTTCTTAGGCTAAGATAAACATTATCGAATGAGAATTGCGATTGTTTTGCTAACTAAATGGCATAGCGATATTCAAACACATGCTCTAAGGCGAAACATCAGTTTTATTTTTGTTTTGGACAAACTACTTTTTTTTTCCTTCACCTCCTTATCTATGCGATGTTACGAGCCCGATTTCTTTGTTTGGAAACCGGACTATTTGTATGCTTCATTTCTACCCCATTTTCGTAGGAACCTTCACAAGGATGGACGTCCTTACTCATAGGCGTCGACAAAAGGGCATTCTAATAAATAATACCATGTGGAAATGGCCTTTGTGTCTGTGTGGATGACAAACTTGTGAGGTAGAAAGACGAAAAGGAAGTGATTCAAATTAGAATTCGGGACGGTGTAAAACATTCAGCAGCTGAATGCTTCACCATGAGCCGAACCACCGGAATTAAGTTTGCTCATTCTAGACCCATGCCGGAGCTTCGAATAAGGTACTTGCTATAATGTCTATTTTTCCTCATTATTGAAATACCATCATTACGAAAAAGAGATATCACACTACTTGTATCGTTTGTATATAGCTGTTATTACTAATACTTGTGTTATTTTTATTTACTAATACTTGTGTATTAATTTTCTTGCTTTTCTTTTTCTTATTCTTAAATGATACAACTTACTACGTTGTGCTGATGATTCTATGAGAATATTTTATGCACTAAACAGCTGTATTTTTCGGTAATTTTCAGTGGATGCCATTAAGAAGAAATTTAAATTTGTTTACAATTTTCATCGATGCTTGTGTTTGAATAAACGTTTTGGCTGAGTAACTCTTCGCAATAGAAAAATAGAGATGAATATTACATCTTATATTATTCCATTGTTACATCATTTCGTATGGAGCGGAACTAAGGCCGATTTTCAGTAGCAATACTTTTAGAGGTATTCTGCTCATACACAGCTGCATCACTACGGGTCCAAATGAGAACTATTGTAGAACTGCAGCTGATACCACCATATCGATATCGGCAGCCATTTTACCATTACGTTTAATCATAGTCACTGTCACTCTTGTTACTACTCTTACTATCGTCATCAACGTTACCAAAATTCATATCGTATTGTATCATTAATATGATTTATAATCATTCGATAGTCTAACCTGACAAATTACCACGGGTTACCACCTACAGACACCCAGTCAGCCGTTCCACTCAAATCCAAGCGCACACACACGGATCAAGCTACTTACAGACAAATCGACAGTTGGCAGATATAATTAGACAACCATTAATAACCTTTCTGTAGCTATGAATAACATTTTGCTTTATGCCAGCAGCGCTGTTCGCAGGCCGATATTGTCCACATGGGTCTTCGTCAACCATACCCGTTCACTCCTCGTACATCATCGGGCAGTGTTTTCTACCTTAACCCCCCGAAATCATCATAATAATACTAATATTATCAGGTTTTAAATCGTGTTATTCCTTGATAATTACTAGCTACATATGTGGGTTTATTAATAAACCCCTGGAGCAGATCCGTTAGAATACTAACGACACACCTGTCCCGAACTTTTCTCCAAGATATCTTTCAAGAATAACCTACTCCTCTCGTATGGATCTTTGAGAACCACCAAACATATATACTCACTTACAACACTTTCAAGAACGCAGAAAAAGAAAATTTTCTTTCGTTTATCTGCGCCAATTGGCAACGTGTGTTACCATGATCCACTGAAGCTTGCCTCCGTAGGCGGCCCTCAGCATGTAGGAAAAACGCGTTCAGCATTCTCCCGGAGGTCGGTGAAAAGTTAATTTCTATATATATATATATATATATATATATATATATGTTGTTTGTTTGTGTAAGTATAATTATTTAGACTGTTATCAATATAGTTGATTGGCAGTGATGGGTTCATATTTAGTACTCCTACTTATGAGCTGTTAGATTTTGTTGATGTTGTTTAGTTGCCCTTATCCTGTTTCGCGTTATCCAGTCTAAGGATACACCTAGGTCTTCTACTTGCGGATGTTTAATATAGCCAAAATTGTCTGTATTTTAAATAGATACTGCTAGCTTTAACGTTGTTTTTGTTATATTCTTATATTTACGCTTGGTGTTTGTCGGGGATGTAATTGTCGTGAATTTTGCGGGCTTAAACTCAAAACAGCCACTTCCTAGCTTCTAAATATAGTCGTTCTAACTTGCTCGGCTATAACATAGTTACAGACCGTAGCTACATTACGAACATGTTGCACTTTGCCACCGTTTTCGCACGTTAATCCACGCAAATGACACGTTTCGCCTAGGTATCCAGCCTCTTCTGTATCACCCCCCAAGAGAACTTGCTTATCGTAGGTCTTTGTTTAGCTAACCGGCTTCACAATTTAATGCGGTCCCTCATATACATTTCACACGTCGCGAATCGTCATCATCATTAATAAAATACTATATATCATCATTACTATTGAATTGATTGAATACATTTATTACAATTGACTTGTAAACTTGGCTTTGTTTACCCGTCTCCATCATTCAACTAACTTGCCTTGCAATTGTCACCGCCGAAAACAATAGCACAGGAGGAGCTATGGCTCTCATCAACCATAAATCATTATTATAATAATTATTCTCTTCCCGATATTACAGTATACTTGAGACGGCATATTGGCAGTAGGCGAATCATTATGAATGACCTCCATTTATTAGGCACCCACTGGGCAAAACAAGTAAAAAAGAAAAATGGAAAACCTGGGAACAGACCATAAGTATTTTATGTGGAGTGGATGTTGCTCAATTTAAAATGTCTCACCGACAAAATGCATATATAAGCGTAATGAGGAAGAGAATCGGGTAGCAGAATGATAACTGATAGTTATGGTGCAACTAACGAAATCGTGCAATTGTCGCTTAACGCTGAAGAATCACCGGGAGATTGTTTTTTTGTTTTACCTTCAGTTGATTCCTGCAAGTGCCTACTGTCAGATAATTTTTACTTAGGGCATTAGAAAAGTACTGCGATTTTTAACGATCGGCCTGTATTTTTTAAGCTTTATCGGCCAACTGGAGTAGAAGAATGATATTAATGCACAGGTGGCATAAACGAATACAGAAATGTTTAGGCCGCGGCGACCTTTTCTTGAGCCCTGGAGAATTTTCTAGTCGGGAACCTTTCGTGTCAAACTCCAGAATCGCGCCTGAATCAATATTGAATCGTTACCCGATACATCAGATAGAACTGTCTTGCCCCGCCTCTAGAAGTCTTCATATATCGTGTCCTTGAAACATCGAGCCTTTGTAGAGGTTAGTTTCTGTATTCCTATCGTTTAGCCGTATCTGTTCAAGTCCCTCTAGGGTGACGCTTTGGATGCTATCGCTGTTGTAGCATGGTTGTCTCTTGGTGTCGCTTCAAATTCGTCGTCTGATTGTTGTGCCGTTGTGCCGCCCCCATCACTGCTGCCACCTGAATTTTCGCTTACCGTCCGTTTTCGAGAGGATGTCTTCGGTTTAAATTCTGAAATGTGAGAAAGAGTCCTATTTAAATTAAAATCAATAAATCAAGGCGACTAAGCGACAATCTTTGTCAAACGTTCATGTATAACTGACAGCAGATTGATGAAACTTTTTACTGTCCTTTTGCTGATTCAAGTAAATGGAGACTGAACACGAATCATCAAGTATCACGGTTTCACTACGACCTTATTATTTTCAGTAGGCCACTATTCTGTAGAAAAAAAAACAAAAATACTGCACTATTCTAAGCGCTAATTATAAATAGATATGGTCGAGTATACGTACAGAAAGCAAAATTGTCTTCGTATGATTGAAAACGAGCATACGAAAGATATTGGTTTCCCTGCCCTGCTTTCTCATTATACAATTTTGACAAGCTGCATTTTAGCATAAGGTAAACTAGGACATCAGTAACACCGTTTAACCCTATGAACACAGTAATCGGTAAATTATTTTTTTGTAACCGATTATATAACTGCAGATCTTACAGCCTCATTTATCCAGCACCGCGCATCTCTTACAACGCTCAAACGTCCAGTTGAGAAAACAAGCAGTTCCAATTTGTTCAACATCAACCTCATACAGCAAAGTTTATTGTAAATAAATTATAGATACCTATCACCGATTAGTACAATTCTACATCTAATCTAAAACCGAACGAAGCTTGATCGCAGTGACATAACCTAACGCGACGCACCTGTTATTACGACCGTAATTCCATTGACAGTAATTGCGGTTTGAATATCCGAGTTTCGATCGATATTTTTCAGCTTTTTGCCCTGGGCACCTGGTTCCCGTCTTCGCTTTGCTCGTGGCTGTTGCTGTTGCGCCTGTGCAACCTGGGCGACCTGTTGTGCCACTACGAGCTGAGCAGGGTTGATCCGCGGCTTTCGTGTTGACGTGCCTTTACGAGCGTCACACATGCCGCACTTGAACGCCTCCGCCTTATTCCTGCAACACAAGTGTCACAAGCAGTTGCGTTGAGAGAAGCACAAGGGAGCTGAGTAGTTATAAATGGATGAAAACGAGCTCTACGCTTTATAAGAGATAATTTGCCTTGGCTGCATAATCCATTAGAGCCAGGAGCTTGCTTCGGTTGCATAAGGACCATGCTCTAAATAACCATGACAATTGTATTTTTCTATTAATAATAACTATATAGTCGTAATAATTATTGTGGAGAGCACATCGAACATAGAATGATACTTTACTATAATGTGGACGTGATCAGCGTCGTTGCACTTAGACCAGCCTAGTTACATCTATCGCTACTGTATCACGATAACATTTTCATTTGGCTGATGACGTTTCCCTACCTGTAGGTGCAAATGGAGCAATCCCAGAAATCCTCGATGAACATTTTGCTCCTCTGATGACTGCCACTACTCGTGCTCCCGTCTCGGTCGCGATCTCGGTGGTGACCAGCTCCTCCCTCTGTAGTTCCGTCCCGATCGCGGCTCTTGCTCTCACTATGTTGCTGTGAGTCTTCGCTTCGGTACTGTTGCTGTCGCGATGTTCGTTCCTTGTCGTGATGCTGTCTTCTTTTAGCGCCTTTACTGCCCCCGCCACCTCCAGACGAGTGAGCCTTCTCCCGAGGACCTCCGCTGCCCACGCTACCCCACGAACCCTGTGAGTCTTTTGTAGGGCTAGTACTGTTTTCTCGCCCGCTGTTTACTAAACTATCCTTACCGTTAACGGCAGCCGAAAAGGTAGCCCCGGCCGCCCCAGAACGGGAGCCGGTGCTTGACGCACCCCCAGTGACACTGTTCGAACTTGATGAATTGAATTGACAGTTCACGTGACTATTGCTTCCGCTGCTGTTACTAGCGCTGTTGTTGTTGCTGTTAGCTTCGCTGTTCGTCCCTCCGCTACTGAGCGAACTGTCGACGTTCCTAAAGTTGCAGCTGCTGCTGCCGTTATTCGTATGAAAATTGGCGTTGCTTTTGCTGCTGTGGTTGCCACTACCGCTGCTTATGTTATTATGCTGGTAGTTATTACTGCTGTTGTTATTGTTCAGAGATGTACTACTACCGTTGGGGTTGTTTACGTTGTTGTGATCCTTCAAATCCCCGCCGAGACCTCCCGCCAAACCTCCGCTAGCGCCTCCGCCGCCACTGCCACTGCCTCCGCCACTACTGAAAATTATCGAACGGCAAAAATAAAAGAAAGCAAAGAAAACGTAGAGATGTGTTAGAAGAATTAGATGCATGTAAGATATTGAGTCGTGGTAGACGTCGGATCGGACTGCACACACTATCCGTTCCAAACTCGATATGAACAAATCCAGCTAACACTTATCTGGCGTTGTGGGGCACAAAAAGCATGAAAAAATGTCGGTGTGTTTGTGACATGTGATAGCGTATATCGGTACCACTAGTATCTATTGCGTCGATAATAGAACCTCAGCACGTCTGCATTTGCCATTTAACTATTAGTTAGTGAAAAGGGCCTCCAGTGAAGAAATTGTATTATCACAATATATTCAAATAACAATCCTAAAATGAGACTTATGGTTGCAAAACACGCCTACCAAAGCATCGCCATTATATGTTCTCGCCTTCAGAAGGAAACAATGGTTTTTTGAAGCTCACGCGGGTTTCATCAAGTACGAAACAACAACGAAAAGCATGAATCTAGTGCGCAGCATGAAATACAGTAGGTGCAGCTCTGTATTCTATACTGAGATGTTATCAACCAGTTCCAGATGATTCGATTGCTTCAAGCCAAGTGATTCCCCCAATGGGAATTTGACCATTCATAAGCTATCGTCGTGTATCTGTTGCACACCTATCGGCGAATCATTTTGTAACAGAGGAGATATATGCTGTAGTCTCTCAAGCAATTATGAGTCACGGCTTTCCATCCAAGTGGAAAACAAGAAGCCGAGCAACTCCTAAAAAAGTCGGCCAGTGCCAACAGGTCAAATTCGACGCGTTGGCTCATTATTTTCATCTATTCAATACTACTGTTGAATACGTTTAGCTTTCACGGTCTAGGAGGCAGCCTATTTTTACATCAGCCTATAAGCAATTTGCTCCCTAGCGGGGGACAAGGCCTGGATGTGCTGAGACATATTTCGTCGCTTGCAAACACTACTGTACGTATACATGAATCGTTCGTCATAATACGAATGCATAAAATATGTTGTACTCTAAACTTATTGATCAGATTTGGCGGACGCTGCTTTGCAACATATACCTTCATCCTAGATGTGTAGCTGGCACAGTACAACGATAGAGACCATTAAGGAAATTCACCCACGCATCTTATAATTATTAGGTTTGATGTAACTAGAGGTACTACTATGGATAACCTGATACACGATTCGATGGAGGTAATCCATTTATGGCCGTTTTGAGGATGTTCTTCCAGTTCTACTAATTCGACCGGCATCAGAATCTGAGTAGAAAGGCGGGCATTTTGGAATGCAAATGAGTTGCTTTCAAGCAAGGAGATTAATGTTGGCATTACGTAATATTAAGGCAACACAGGCAGCTCTAAAGTTACACAAAATTTATGATAAAATAAATGCGGTGTAAGGAACAACTACCATCTAATTAGGTCCGCATCTTAGGCGTGGAAATCTTACGTGTTTATTTTAGCGAAAAAAAAAATGAGCCGCCAATTGCGATCTGTGTATATGCTTGAGAAGAGTAGATTGTAACTGAAGAGATAATCATGCTAGCACGCTGACGTTTTACCTAGAGTTGAATTGGATCTCTGTTATCACACGAATAATAATAAAAACTATTATTACTACAAATATTACGATTAAGGCGTAATTAGTAAATCCGAAAAATAATGGTCGTCCTATGATCGGCAAGTGATGCGGGTCTCATTGACAGCCTAGGACGGACATAGTGGTAGCAAGTGCAAGGAAGTGCCAGTTCGCTTTACTATAAATGTAACAAGTGGCTTTCCCGTTGCCTAAGCAACATTCATTGAGGTCGTGTCTACCCAATCGCTAAGTCTTTTACCAAGCAATTTCATCAAAAGGCTCCATTAATATACCATGGCTAGCACGAGTATCTATGGTGACTTAACGTTACCGTTCAACTTTTGATGATGGTGATGTTCGTCTAGAGGAAGGTGTTAGGTACTAAATAAACCAACAAAAAATGTTCCTCCGTATTTCTTTCACATCCATGCCATTGAATACGACAGGAAAAATATATCGGTATTCTCTCGCACAGATTAAGGGGAACTATAGCTCGACTAGGCTTTTATTATAGGGAATTCGTTTTTCGTTTCTAACTTTTTCTAATGCACGCAATTTTCCATCTAGTTTAAAAAATTGTTTTTCCCTTTGCCAGAGATACATTACCAAAAAAGTTCAACGTATTTTAAGAGATTTGTGAATAGAGCGACAGCTAAATAGACAAAGGCCTCCAAATGAGCACAGATAAAGGAGTCCCAGTTACTGGCAACAAATGGATCGTCATTTTAAACGACGCTGTATGTATGCGACAATAAGCCAGCTGAAAGTTAACGAAACGATACCTAGAAGCAGAATATAATCCGTGCATGTTTTTCAGTAAATGAGCTCGTTACAATGAGCTATTATATTATATATTATATCTTTGTTTAGTTTGGTAACTTATTTTATTTACCCTATATTTCAGAATCGATCGTCATTTCTATATTAAACAAAACAGGAACTGCTCTACATGCAAAAACATTACATACAACAATATGGTTCATCCACTGTACTTTGACAATACAAAGTTCAAATACAAATTATCCTCGCAATCGTTGCTGGTCACCATATAGAGTTCTTTCTCTACCACTTGAATCTTAGCAAAATACCTGTTGTTCATCAAAACTAATTGTATTATTATTAATTTCAAACGACTTTACAACGTATTGAGCTATCTATGTGCTTTGGTTACGGTTCTTTTCAGTAGTATATTTTGCACTGATAACGGCATGTCAAGAAACGAATCTTTCGCTTTTCTTAGGAAGAAGCACTAAAAAGCTGTATTCATTGTGGCCTCAGATTATGCTGTCATAAGAAAAACAATTTGTTCCTTTGACCACAATTTTTTTTTTACCTAAGAGTTAAATTTATTCCGAGTCGAATACAGAGCTCGCATACACATGAAACATGTGCTTATGTAAAAAAATTCAAATAAAAAAAATCAATTTTTCATCGCGAATTATACCAATACTAAGCATAAAAATTGTCTAAATAATGATCGAAGCATATAGATAAGGATTTCATATAGATATGTATATTTAAGTGCAAAGACTTACTATAATTACTGATATTCCTCATGTATAGAACTGTAAGTAGTGAGAGGTTGCAGCTTCAGTAAGTAAAAAAAAAAACGTCTAATGCACTAGCTGCATCCCAGTTTCAACTTCCGTCATCCTGTGAGAGAAAAGCTTCTATTGCGGGCCTCACAGGGTACGGGTTTAATAGCAGTAGAAACCTCGGAAACCACACTCCAATCCCCGATAAGCAAATTCTACTGCTGACATTGCACTATTTGTTGTAGATGTTTAACCGTTAAAACATCCAAACTCAACAGTCGTGCTCGTCTCATTACGATTCAATATCAAAAGCGGTCATTAGGGCAGAGTACTTTTTTTTATTATTATTTTCATCACTGAGACCACTAAAACGCTAGTGTGAATTACAAGATTAACCATTAAAATTTATGTTAACAATAAGAACTGTTGCAAGTGCAAATCTTACATAAACAAAATTAGTACACCTATTATGTATAAAGCCGAGGTAGAACGCCATAGGTAAGAAAAAAATCTGCGCTGGATCAGATTTTCTCCACGCGCTATGCGTATCTCAATTTTTTTTCTGCGCGAAATACTTTCTCTGAAACGCTCAGTAAGAGGTACTGCGAAAGTAGACGACGATAAATCATAGCTCAGGTTTGCAGCAACAGAGGTGCTCACCGACAATGAGAACTCAACGTCTCATCGCTGCTAAACTAGCAATGCATAAAGACACGTACGAAATCTGGGAAAAAGAGTTCTAGGTGATGAGGTGCATAAATCGACAGACTGGTAAAGAAACAAACTCGTCTGTTTTTCTTTGTACTACTTTGTAATAATCGTTTTCGTTGTCGGTGTCATGGTCATTGCTGTGCCAGATGGAAAGGTGAGGAGACCGTTGAGACATAATCATGAACGTACTACATACACAACCATGATAATAAACCACAAGACAAATGAACAGATCCTTCGTTAGTCTTCCATCATCTAACTTGATCGTTTTATGGCCAAAAACAGACAACAATTATATGAACTTTGTGGATTCCGAATCTGAGTTATACAAATATTGTCATACGAGAGCCACTTGAATCAATGAAATAAAATGATAATCAGTAATTTAAAACTGACAAGTAAGAGTTGTAGGTTTTGCATCTTCCTTGAATGTGGTGAAGGAGGCGTGAGTCCTGAAAGTCGGCCACGATTTAGATCGATTTGCTAGTCCTTAATAATAATTCAACTGAATATAGTGAACAACAGCGCAGATTACCAAGTAATATAAATGCTGAGAGATATAACAGAACCTTATTAGTTCCTAGCCTTCTTTCGTAATTTTACTTGTAATACTGAACCTGATATCGTTTGTAAAACGATTGCATATCCACTCAGTGATTACTGGAATTCTTTGTCGATAAGTAACACATTGCATATGCACATTCGTGCAATACAATTTTACACGATTCGGGCTCAATTTCATTTACAGCCAGCAATATGCACCTTTCGTTATTAGCTTCGCAATTTGGCCGTTCCTTTTGCTTTGTTCTTTCCAGTTCAAATGCCATCCAAATAAATCCTCAGCTCCAAGGCATGAGCGAAAGAGACATGGATGCATCACTTGAATACTTTCGATCCAAACTGCTCTACGACCAAACAATAGAAAAATACAGCCATACCAGCTATATAATCCAATTTCCCTTTCTCTTTTTACGGATGAGTCTTGTATTAATTCAGTTATCATTTTATACATTGATTCGCGACCGCGTCTGGTGTGCAAACACACATAATAACGATTCATACACATTAGGTATTTTATAAGAACGTGCTCAACCCACATAGAGTAATGAAAATTTTTTAATTGTTTTTTTTTTAAAAAGGAATTAAGCAGAAAATACTCGTGATTTCAACAAACAAAAACTCGGTTTAATAGAGGAGCCATCCGTAATGTATCATTTTACATTCGCGATATCGTGTTCCATCGCTTTTAAACATAAATGTTCGTAAGTCACCGAAACTGCTATCATTCAAAGAATGTGAAATTAATCGTGTGCATGTCCTATTCAGGATTGTTGATGCGCTTCGTATATTTTCAACTGAGCAAAAAAAAACGTACCACTCAAAACGTAAGTGTGTATCTGACTTCGTTGCGGAACTGCTGACTTGCTTACAAAATATTTGCACAAACTTTTGCTCGTGCCATAATCGCGGTTTAGTGTCCTTTGAAGGCTGAAGTAATTGTTGGCTCGAAGGAATATTATCATCTACAGCATCGCTTCTTTGTTAACAGTCGTTGTAGGTAAATAATTTTGCCACCTTTCGGCTGCAACCCTATTTATCCGCAGACCAACTCTTGTTACTAATGGCGACAGCCTGATTAACAGCTCTGCACCCTCATTACTTCGTGAGCTTGAAGGAAACAGCTTCTTGCTTTGTACGTACTCCTGTTTATTTTGCATAAAATGTTTGCCCCACTCTCACATAAAAGGCCACCTATCTACAAAGGAAGTCCACATGTCATCTTACGTGTATGATTTAGTATAGATTACATTTCGGCGACTTGACACACGTTCGCCGATGATAACCGATACTCTTCCAGATCTCATTGAGCTTTCGGTATATTCGTACCATTAATATTCATGTTTCATATATTTCTTTACGCATATGTCATGGATACTGTTTAAGTCAATCTCCGAAGGGTGGAAGGGGAGAGCTTACAACACACAAATTGTGTTTGGTTTGTTACATAATAATTGAGAATATTGCCTTAATAAACGTTGTACTCAGTGGTTATTGTTGACTACATTAATGTTAACGCTGATATTGTATATGCCTGGAAAACTTTCCTAATTGCACAACTTTTGAATGCATCTTCCGTCTCGTTTGCTATTTGTATTCGGTTACTCTACAATTTGTCAGACAAAACACCTCACATGCTCTTACCTCTGGGGACTCCTCTTGGGCTCGCTCATCAGGCCAGACGTGTGACGGCCATCTCGTCCGCGACTGACTCTAATCGAATTTCGAGCGAGCAGCGTTTTCGCTGGATCAAAATTCTGCTCTTTCTGAAATTTGAAGTTTAACGGCGACTCCTTGAATTTGTTGCGAGCAACGTTTCGCGTTCTTCGTTGCCCCGTACGTACGCGTTATATTGATACGAGTTGATTGATATCTTGGTTTTCCCTATCGACTTTTTTCTTCGTACGTCCCTATTTCAGCTCTTATTTCACAGCCTTTCATAAACTCAAACGATACCAAGCACCAGGCACTAGGCACGATTCACACACTAAAAGCCCGCAAAATGAAACCACCATGGAACCACCCTTCATACACCGAAGTACAACTCGGATTCACCTGAATACTTCGGACAACGCCAGATCAATACGAAAGCCGCTAAAGCGATGCTGTATAGCAACTCAACTGTCACGGACGATCCCCACAAAGTGATGAGCCCAGATAAACCGTGAAGTGATGAGATGCTGCTGCCTGCTTTAGCGTAGCACAAGACTGCCGCTTGTTCGCAGCTCTTCTTGTCACAGCTTCTCGCTTCGGTTCTTGAACATCTCAGGTAAACTTTGAAAACGTATTCTCTTCCCGTAGACGGACGTAATCTTCGCGCTGGACTTGTTGCTACTACTCTGCGTATTAGCTATCTGAAATTCAAAAAACACGGTATTCTGACCGTGGTGTCAGATAGCCAACCACTACTATTGTTTAGCGGACTCCTTCCGTACGTTCTGTTACCAGTAAAGCTACACCTGAGCTGCTTCGTCTAGTCGTAGATATAGGGTAGGGTACAGTCAGTGTCGCTAGCCCTCCTCGAAGCCGACACGACACGGAAGGGCAGGCACTCTCCTTTACCATACGGCGGCAGTGACACAAGCGACCGTGTCGTCGTCGTTGTCGTCTATGTGCCTGCTTTGGGAAGAATCGCTGCCGGCGCTGCGATTAGCACTGGGGTAGCGCTGTCTAGCTTATGGTGACGGCTGCAGCCTCCAGTTGCGACACGGTAGTACGCCTATAGTAACTGTCTACTAAAACCACCACTGACCGACAATCGTTTCCAATCATTACTGACAAATCTACACAGGGCATAATCACACATATCTAGCAGCAGCAGCAGCAGCAAGCTTAAAGGATACTGGACAACGGACACTATCCTTTAGATCGCGTACTCGGTGCAGAACTCGTCTGGCCACTTCGAAGAATAACATTGAGCACCATAGGTATCACAGAGAACCGACTATCATCGCCAGGATATATCGACAGGTCCACTAATCGACTAGCCCCTGGGACGCATGGCAACGACCGTCACCAACAAAAAGCCAGGACCCCCGTAGCAGCGCTCCCGCTCTGACTTAGGAACGGCTGCCCTAAGCACAGCTACAGAGAGACAGCAGTAAATGACTGTGAGAGGCTGCAGAACAACCCATCTGCCATTTGCTTTTAACAGCACTCCGCCACTAGAGGCAATAGCAGTATCCGCAGGAATATTAGGGCCAATAAGAGCCTGCAGCAGCGCCAGCGGCGGCAGCAACCGTCCGCACAAAAAATCCAAGATGGCTGCCTCTTTGGTGTAGCGATTCTCTCTGCACTACAGCAAGAAGCTTCGGTCGGCCGTTGGAGCAGCTTGAACGAGGCACAAAGAAAGTATCGGTGGTCTCAGGAGAAGCATAGATTTCTTCTCGTGTTAAGTGTAACTACGAGTATTTTTGTAAACGTTTGTGTGTGGTAAATGATCGATGGCATTCGATTGCTATACGCATGCAAAGCACAGTAGTTAGCAGAATGAGACGAGAAGCTCGAATGCTTCAAGTGGCTGGAGCAGTCAGCTGACTGACGGATAGTTGAGGCGAGCATTGCTCGATTGATAGCAAGACAAGTTAAAAATAAGAATTGCCGCTTTTTTTTTTAGAGTTTTAATTGGCTATGCTTAGATATACACTAATATATTGCGTGCATAGCATTAGATGGCTTAGAAACTCATTGCTGGCCAGGTCTGTGTCGAAGCGATGAAGTGTGGTAACAAATTTCTAATTAGTAGAAGGAACTTTTTCACATAATGGCGTGTTGGTATACTCGTCACGCTCGCATGTAATTCGAGTGCGTGTTTATAAGACGAGGTATTCGGTGAAAAAAGGTCCACTGAGAAAAAAGTGTGCATTACAACGGTAAGTGCACTGTGGTAAATTCGATTCTTGTGTAGTACATTCCAACTGCGACAAGTTTTGCAATAATGACTACATACGTGAAAAGTTGGTCATACGTTTGTAAAAATAGATCTACAGGTTGGATTGTCGCTACATGTTAAATGGCTTGTAGAGTGTGATGTTCTCCGGCCGGATGTACAATAATTTAAATTCACGGTCTTTGTATATCAATCGTTCTAATGTAGTAGATCAGCCAACAATTTAAAATGCAAAAGCAATGAACTTTGAACTTCTGCATGAATTCAAACTGCTTTGATTCAGTTTAATTTATACGATACATATAATATACAATGAATAAGGTTTATTCTCACATAAAGACGTCTCGCGCGAAGCTATTAAAACTTGGTCTTTACTGTATAAAATTTTTCAACATAAAATCACAGAGCTTTAGAACAGGTGCTACAAACGCTATTTCCTGAGATCTTGCTGGCGACAATTTACACATCTTGGAATTCATCGAGAGCGTAGCACAAATGACTGCATAGGTAAACTGAGACATTGGAAAAGTTACACGGTTATAGTTATATGGCGTCAGTTCACAGCCTTGTGATTCGTTTCTTGTTGTTGTCTTTTCTTTACAGACCTGCAATTTTTTTACTACACACGTCGAAGGAATCTGCCTAATAAAATCTATTTACCTTTACGCAACTAATCATGACCAGTCTGAAACAGCGACAGGTGTCACAAACGTTAACTCAGGTGTTATTAGATCGAAAGTTTATGGCGACAAGTGAACTGCGCGAGTTGGTGGTCAAACTTAATACAAAGTTCGATTATAATCTTGACATCAAACAGGATAGAAGTCTTGATGAATACATTGGTACGCAATGCGCACAACAATGTCGGATTTAAATTTAGAAAACTCATTTGGTTTTATATCATTTAGTTTAGTACAGTAGCTTAAATTGGTCCTAGTTTGACAATAAGCAAGGAGTGTTCAAGTCAACTGAGCCGCGAAAAATTGCTTAACTAACGTTTTAATAGACCTAAATATGCCATGATAAGTAAGAAAAGGTTATGTCAAAAAAACATTGATTAGAATCAGCGAACACTAGTTGCTGACGATTTAAATAAATAAGATAGAAATGTCTTCTTACGAAAAAATTTTCGGGCAATAATTTCGGAATAACGACAGTTTTAATATAATGATTAGTGTCTTGAATTTATTGCCAAAACTAGGAAAAATTTTGGCGTAAGATAGTAGTTAGGAAAAAACTGTGACAATTTGTTCACTTACGAGAACAATTTCGAAACTCCCTGAAGGTGTTATTATGACGTAAACTTCAAAGAAAGAATATTGCATAAAACAGAATGCTATGACGTATTGCAAAGCTAACCTCAACTTTCGTGAATATACCTTGTTGTTAATATTCTACAATGAATTTGTTAGTTTGTCGTGTTTTGTTGTGCTTATGCTGGCTTTATATGTTTGTGTCATTACGTGAAATTTCGTTTCTCTAGGAACCATGAATATTTCGCTAGCACGGCTTCACTTGAAAATAGTGCAGACTCGAGACGAATCGACAGGCGAGCGTCTCATTGTCCTATGTAACACACTCGCGTCAAATTTGTCCTTGCATCCTGAGCTCAGTGAGCAGCAGATGGCTTTGTTTCGCACACTTGTCGAACGGATCGCCACTGCTTCGGACGGGCACATCCCGCACCATCAGGCATTGTATGCCGTCTGCGAGATTCCAAACTGCAAACTCAGCGAGGCGCAAGCTGAGCAGACTATCAACGAACTTATCAGGTAAGTATTCTACATTATTAATCGAGTAATCCTTTGGTTTCAAGTAAATCTATAAATGTTTAGAGTATCCTTTCCAATTTAGCTTAAAAAGCTTTGTCTTTATTAACTTTAGTTTTCAGCCTGATGACTTGGTCCATAACATCTTGACTAACACGCTTGCAAGTGAAAAATGGTACGATACAGGAACAATGGCAGAAGTGACAGTTTTTTTGCTTTGAAGTGAGGTTTCTTTGCTACAAGGCTATGTGTACGCACTTCACAACTCAAACGGCTTTAGAGCCCTGTGCTGTGAGGCACTTTAAGCCGAGGGCCGGCCAAGGACCAAAAAACTTAAATACATGTACGATTCTCTAAATTAGACTCTTGACTCGCTTCTAAGGTATCGTAAATAATTTCTGATAACGTATTTTTGCATCGAATCTTTTTGTGGATTTTTGACAGGCAAAAGTATCTGGAGAGCGGTCCGAAACAACGTTTGTCGCTAAGCCCAGTTGCGCTTGTTGAACTTGGGCCATATATCGTTTCACTGCTGGAAGATAAAGTATGTGTCAGCGTGATATATTTTGCTCGTTGCTTCACGTCTTTGCGTAACATTCACTTAGACTACTTGTTTTTTTTGCCTGGTAGACAATTTAGTGTGCAATTCCATTGGGATTTTCAGTGAGATCGATGAAGTAGCAGAGACAAATCAAGTTCGAAATATATAATTAAGCAAGTTATGAAATGTAAAGAGTTCTTCTGGGTTGTACTTCACACATGGCAATTTATATTTTATGCATTAACAAAACTATTCAGTTTAAACTCATTATGTCTCCTTTGTGTGATTGTCCCCGCAAAAATCACTAGTTTGACGCCCTTTTTTTAAATATTTCTACTCTATTAGGATAAATTAGTGAATAGGCAAATTAATTCGAATACTAGTCCTGTCATTACACCTGTGTATTTTTCGCAGGTGATCAAATGTGCGGCATGTTCTAGCCTGTGCCTTCAGGGTATGCATTGTTCTACGACAGACTGTCCCGCAAAGCTGCACCATGCCTGCGCTAAGAAACTTGTTGCGTGCAGACTTTGTAAGAAAAAATGGAATAAACCAGTGCGTTAACACAAAAATTAGCAAAATTATGCTCCTCTGGTAAACTGCACCAGTAGGACAACGCACGCCATGCTAAATAATGCAATTTGATTGCGAAACAATATGCCTCTGATCAGAGTCGATTCAGGAAAGCGTACGAGTGTACACAGAGAAAATACCCATTGGTACAGTGATACGGGCTCCACGGAGGCACGATGGCAAACGGGATGCGGGAAATGCGCTCTGAGAACAAAAATCGTTGCGACCATGAAGCAGAATGTACAACTCGAAACAGTGTTTATTTATGATGTACATTATGTAATTATTTCTGTACTGGTTGGTACATATTCTGTAAGCAAATATGCTTACAATAACTGAGGTTCATATTTGTTTAAAATAATGATATTACTATGTATGAATAAAAGAACAGAGGTCTTTTTTGTCTTCTTTTGTGTTCACTATAGCAGGAAATACAACCCGTTTCCGTCTTTATAGTTGTCTTTTGTAGAAGGAAACCTATTAAATGTTTAGCGTGCAGTACTTTGACTGTGGCTCAAATGACTAATAAACGAAAAAACATGAAAATCTCCTAAATATGTAAAAATGATCTTCTAACATCCATTGAAGTAGATTTCACATTAGAGTAAAGTAAGAGCTATTGTAAAATCAAAAAAAGAATTCGACAGTGATTCAAATAAAAAAACATTTGCCTTGCGGATTTCGTTGTCGTAGATTGCTTAAGTCATGTAACTGTATATTAACAGTCGCCCGAGAAGCGCGACCGGATTACCTGCTGGCTGTATTTAAACCATTTATACATTTGTGTCCGAATATGGCCAACTATCGTGCATAAACATCGTTCCTAGCTGTGGTATTAGAATAATGAAGATGCATTCAGTAGTCCAATACATGAAAATCTAGTTTGTTATCATTTTGAGAATGCGGAAATAGTTTGCGAAGCACAGGGCCTCAGTAGATTTTTATCATTTTAACGTGTAGTGGAGTTGTACAAAGTAAGCAATAAGCAAGAAGGGAAGTTGGATAATTTGATTTGTAAAAAAACGGTTGCATCCGGCGGAGGTTACTTTAAAGTGATAATTTAAATGAGAGGAATAAAGAAAAATATATTAATATAAAACAAACGACTCGATATATTTTATACACTGTCGGATTTTGTAAGTGTGTTAAACCTGCAGGCGTGCATCTGTGTAAAAGACTAAGTTTTAAATTATTATTGTTAGTGTAAGGTCATTTTCAAAGGCTTTCTGTTAAATACTTTTCATTGTACATGTAGATCCATAGTACTCTACATTATCGTTCATGCACTAAACATCTTGGTACTTCTAATCCATGTATAGTATTCGTTTATTGTGTGACTCTCGTTGTATACATTTAGATGGTGACACCAAACATGGTACATTGTTTTAAATGTCGTAAATAACAACACCTATTTATTTTGCTACTGATACTAGGTACTTGTATATCTAGCGAGTGCCGCAACATTTGGCCTCCAGCTGCTGGGCATATTCGAACTTCTAAATTACTATTAGAGTTCTCTGATATTCATACGTATTATAGTATAGTATACGTATTATAGTATGGTAGCAATATTGATGAGAACTGAGCTTTTTTCAAATTCTGACAGATCCGTTGAGTTCATGCGTAAGAAATAATAGCTCACTTTAAACATTTCAAAGAAGTATAAGGATTCCGTCTGCCTGCTTCCTCAAAATCGCAATGGCTCCGCAAAGGTTCCGCCAGCCATCTATTCGACGGGACATAAACACAGACATAGCAGTAATATCTAACGCAGCATCTACAGACTCATCAGTGCCAAGATTACGGCTGATCGCAGCACACTGTTCGATAATAGAACGTTCGTTCAACTTACTAAGTTCAGCTAGAAACTTAATTTGAACTGCGGAATTATACGTTAGTGTGGTGTAAAAAAGGCAGACTGCTCTCAAGGAGTGCAACTTTAAATGGTAAACGGTAACGTTTTCTCACAATTGCGGAGTCATTTGTTTTCTGTATGATCTTTTCCATGTTGAAAACACCTATCAAGCAAGTTGTGTTGCGAGCCTCCTTGTACTAAAGAAAACTAACAGTGGACGCAATGAGACTTGATTCATTCTACGTCTTGTTGGGAAGTGTTGCCTTGGTTGGCATTTCGTTTGCTCAGGAAATTGCACCCGTGTTGGTAGTATTTCACGCACTAGAGTACAATGGCGCTGAGCCGGTGTGGACGCCTCGAGCAAAAATATCGATTAATTCACTATCACAGGTGGGTAGCTTAAGGTTTTCTACGAATTTGTAGAAAAATAGTACCTAAAAACTCTTTTGTAGCGCGAGTTTGTAGCATGCCTTTAGCACTACATTGCTTATCATCTTTATTCATGTTATTTATGATGATATCAATGATTACAGTGATACCCTATCGTACGTCGTTTTAGTAATGATATAAATCACCGCCAACATAATACGTGTACAATATTTAATTTCGGGTTCATACGCAGCTGTGATTTTTAGTTTCTAACGGTATCTACATAGCAACACACAACGGCAGATACGTTACGCTCAAACTATACGAATATATCTTTCCACTCTTAATGAAAACAATTACTAAGAATAGAAGTACGACATGTCAGTCAGCTGACCGTTGCAAGTTTCGTTGAACCGTTTTGAATATATAATTATAGGCATTATAGTTCGGGAGTGTTCCAAGGTTCAGTTAGGTAGTGTTATCTGAAAAGCAGAACTATTAGTAAAGGGAAGTATATATGTATGTATATTATGTTCTTGACAAACAAATTACGCATATTAACGTTCAAGCTACATATATGTTTATTTTATTTTTACAATACGCTACAATTAAACGTTGACCAGTCGCTTAGCCCTACTGTTAATACAAATAAAAAATAAAGCTGTTTCTTGTTTTTTACCTCGCTTTTATATATTACAGCACACTGCCATGGCTGAGGCAAACCTGATGACTCCAGAAGATGAGGCCAAGCTTGAACGAGTAGTAAAGGGAGGTCGATACCAAATAAAAGTCGTTGACACGTCGACAGGTCATCACATCATCGCATGGTCTCCCCATTACAAGCCTCTTTCACAGAGACTTAAGGTACACACATGCCCTTAATCTACTTAAATTCGTCGTGTTATTTTTCAGATCTCGTAGAGTATATGACCTCCAGGCTTTTTTCTGTGTAACCATTTAACCCTGTTCCGTCAATTAATTCGTATAAGCAAGCAAAAAATATAATCACGTCTAATATTATTTAGCTGATCAAATGTCTCATATGCGTAGTAGCAATTTTTTTTAAACATCTGATTTGCTCTATAATTACATAATTGTTTGGAAAAGAGCTATAAATATGGAATATTGCAGAATTTGTTGAGTTCTTCGGCCTGTTTGGTACCTCGCAAATTATTTCCTATGTTTCCTACTAAAGTTAATTAACGACTGCTCAGATAAGCTAAATTTTAGTTTAAATAAGCGAGTATTACTAATTTAAAGGGTTTGGAATTACATATGAACGCTGAGGTTTATCACAAAAGAATAGTAACAATATTGGAAACCTGTACTATTGTTCGATTAGCAAAACCTAACTACGCTTGCTTACGCTTCTTAACAAACGTACCATTTATGTTTCACGTTTCCCACCAACGTGTGAAGGTATCGCTGGATCTGTCAGGATTTCTCGAGAGTGTTTCATTTCTACCGCCCGATGTTCAGGCAGGATCAGGAAAGGTCACCGAAAGAGATCGGTTTTTAAGCGTGCAAATCGATGTCATGAAAGTTGCTCCGGCACCAGAGACTGCTACGTACATTCAGCGACTGGAAATTGAACGGCGCGAGAAAGAGAAGTCCCAAGGACAGGACAATAGGAGCTTCCTATCCAAATACTGGATGTACATTGTGCCCATCGTGATATTTATGCTAATTTCGGGGGCATCTAACCCCGAAGGACAATAAGTGCGTGGGGGTCGTAATGTGTAGATTATACATATAGAAGAAAGAAATACATCTGTATATATAATAGGAAATTATCGGCTGACGGCAATGTAGTGTCCCCTAGAGTGGTCTTTAGAGGGAAACCAAGCCCATTTTGTTCTAGCCGATACAGAGATTTTAAAAAAGGCTAGTTGAGTATGATTTGACTGTTGCTGCTGCGGAAAGAAGGTTAGAAATGTTTTAAGATTTTTCATGGGTAGAAACCCTAGTTTATTTATTTACCTGGTATAATAAATACCTAGTCAAATTACCGCTAAGCAACAAATCTGTATTCTTTGATGAGCTACGCGTGGGGACTGCGTTCAAAGGTCGCTGGATTTTGCTGTTCGTATTGCACTATTTCCTATTTGTCATTTATGCCATGGTCTTCATAGTGCAGTTGAATTATAAAACTTCAGAATAAATTAATATTAGTGGTTGATATTCTGACAGTTTAAAGTAAAAAAAAACGTAGACGGCAACACGGAATGCGAATGTGATCGATGAAGGATAAATGTGTTTACATAAAAGTGTAATGCCGTGTCTTACATGAGTATTAATCATAATAACAAAGCCGCTGAAGGAATCGACTATACAGACGTCGTAAGTAGTTCGATTCAGGAATTGAATTTTATGGATCTCGAAAGATCTAAATTATCATAATGCTGGTTAAACCATGAGTCGCAACGGCACTCAATTTATTCAGAGCGATATACTACGTAATTGGTAAAATTTGTCACTGATAAATTTTAGGACTGAAGAATAACTTATCATTTGTTTTTTGCACCTACGAGTGTTAACGATTTTCTGTAAAGCGAATGATACATATCCATCATCATGAGATTCATCAAAAAAACTATATAAATACCATTCTATCAATTACATTAAACTTTGCCTTTTAGGCAGCCAGATTAATATCCTTGGTGATTCTCTGTACATTTATTTGATTCTACTACAATAGAAATTTCGCCAGTTTTAATTCACTTAGCTTGACATACGAATACGTTCTGCCAAGTTTAAAGCGTATGGGCTAGATGTTAATAGATAAGCTACCTTTGACATTAAATGTACACATATTGAATCTGTCAGAAATGTCAATAGGAAATTAAATACAGACATTATTTGCACTTGACATCTATAGGGTGCATATGTGCGTATAGGCCGGGGTATTATTTGGCAAGTTCATCATATACGAAGAGTAACAGTGTCAAAGATTTTAAATGAGATCATTCTTCGTTTTCGAGCATCTTACGAGGAGTTCACGTTGAGGTTGCATCCGTCACCTAAAAAAAGACTCAGAACGTCAAGACACGAAGTATTGTGGGTGCATTATATGATGTATCACGGCGAATATACATGAACGCATACTGAAATCAAAGCAGGAAACAGGTTCAGCTTATGTATAAACACTACATTCTAGAACGAAATTTTTGTCCAGTAATTCTATAAAATTGATGCAAATATTGTAACTTCTGATGGTATATAAATTGCTCAATTTCTACTAACAAAATATTAGAGGTCGGTTTTTCTCTTCTAACGAACTTTTTCTTTACGCTGCTTGTGAAATCGACTAGGGCATAGATTAAGATTTAAGATTCTCGGTGCTTCAGGTGACTCAGTCTAGGTAATCTTGGTCATTTCAACATCTTAAGATAACTGTAAAATTCCTCTCGTTTGGCCTGTATAACTGTGATTTATATGCCAAAAGAGCGTCTCAATTTGAGCTCTCAAAGTTTGAAAATAATTTAACGTTGCTTCCAAAGAATTGTATGTATTTTCGCTGGTGATATTTATCTCGCCGAGGAAGATGCCTGCTTTGACGGTTGCCAAAAACAAGTCATCCTAATAACGGTTCAAGGAAACAATCACACGATTTGAACTACGAACGTCACAAAGACGTCAGCTGAATGCCAATTCCTTGATTAACACGCGTTTCCCGTGACGTTGGTCAGCGGTCGATTATATTCACCTGCGTTTGTGACGATTCGCCGTTGTCATGCGATACACTTGCAAATGCATTCGACACAATGACAAATCTCTAAAACAATATAACGTTTATATTTGAAGGATCTCATTGTCTTCATTATCACTTTTACACCTGTCTTTGCCATCTTTTTCTGTAGCTTCACGTTCAGTTGCGCAGCTGAGGTCATTGTATTGATGACGAAAAATCTTCTTTACCACCGAAATGTCAAATGGAAGTAATGCAATCTGTAAAAGAAAACAAAGTATTGAAATCGTTTAATTTAGGATAGACAAACAGATCTAGATTTGCATGGTTTCCATAAAGCCAGTTTTGTTCTAGTAAACCATTAGTCACTAAAACTATGCAGGTTAATTAGACGTTTCCCTCTTTTAATGCTTATCTTTTTAATTTAATATTTATCAGACAATAGCATTTAAGTGTACTAGAATTATTAGAATGGTTAAGTTGAGCTCTTGTTGATCGGAATATCAAGAAAGCATACTAGTTATTATGCCTCAACTTGTTTACATGATTTTGTCCGGCGTGGCAGATCTCGGGCAGACTCAAAGCAATACATTGATCCCTCAGGGCTCGGGCTTGATCGCAGGGCGAATCACGTCGTGTCGAGGATTTTTTTTCGAAATCTGACAAGTCGGCCTCACGGAGCACTCGTACACGGCCCAAGGCTACAGATAAATTGATTGAGAATATCATTTTGTCACACTACCAGACGAAAGGATCACTTGCCTAAGCCATTGACTAGTAAGTTGCTCCGTTGAAAAGCATTATGGGACCTTCCTAGTCTGCTGCAGTATTATTATTACCACCACTTTGCGGCTCACACTTAGATTTTGACTGCGTGAATACCATTATTCGGGCTACCTATAATACTTATTCGAAATCTTTCCTGCCAAGCTAACGGCAAGGTTTTCCGCAATGGAGTTTTGGTGCTAACTGGTTTTAGCCCTTTGCACAAAAAGATACGTATACCATACGTACCATCATCGAATGTTGTGTCAGCACGGACAGTAAGCATATCGAGATACCTCTTAAAGTTCTTAGTTAACCATCTTTTGTGAAGTCTCAGCTGAATTTCTTGCTTCGTTCTAGGCATGCGATGCCTTAGGCATTTCAACATACAGCACACGGTGAAAGCTGAAATGATTATGATAAAAATAAATTATGTATAAATATGAGACTTGGCTTTGTTGTAACGACCAGATCCTTTAATTTACTTAAATATGCGAGGATATCGAAGTCAGAATATTTCCTGGCCCTCGATGAGAGGCGTATCTTGGCTACGGGACCCATAATAGTATTGTGAATATATATAAAGACTTACATGATTACTGCTTTGCTACACAATTACTCCAACTAATGGCAAAATTTTAGGTGTGGTCATACTTGTATTAAAAAGCTACAGTAAGCAAATTGCTGCACTTTGGCATAACTGGAGCTAGCTATCCATCAAGGACATGTACTGCTGTTCTGTCTCTGTTTCTATTCTTGAGCCATTTTTGAGTTTAAATCATACAGCCGTCTTCAATTTTTCTCCCATAAAAAGAACCTTTTCATCATTAATTTAACGAAAAGACTTCTACTTGTTCCACTATTTCAATAATGCCTAAAACGATCGGCTAAAATTGATGTTCGGATGTATAGCCACATTTCATGAGACATAAACGGAGAAGGGCGCCGTCAAGGCGGAAAACAATTTCAAAAAGGTAAAATTTTTATTAAACACGTAGAGCGATTACATAATATAGTATATCCTATGGAGAAACCTCGATTCAACGCGGTTTGGATTAAAAGATTATGCATCTTTCAACAAGACGGAAAACCGACGCAAAAACGTCAGTGTATTTAAAATTGTGTGTCTGATAATTGGCTTCTTTTGCAGATAAGCCACTTTGACAGTTTAGTATTTGATCCGTTGTTTGCGACGTTTTTAAGCCAAACTTGAACAACTCCTATCGTACTGATATGATGACCGCCGTACTGTACTGATGGACTTCCGACCACTGTTAATAAGCGATTTGTGATTTTAAAGGAGAAAAGGCCTGGTTAATGCACTTTGATAGAAGCCTTTCTTGAAGCGAACGGCAGTTACATTGAGTAAATAGGTCGGTTAAGGATGCCTTTGTCTACAAGTCGTTTATAGACCTTTTATTCAAACGTCTGTTTTCATTAAAATGCAGGTTGTAAAAATTATATCAATTTCGACCTAATTTATCCCAGACAGAAATGAAAGGATGGACGGCTATGTAGGCGGGTTCCTGAGAGAGCTAGCAGACTTCTATGCTATCGGAAGCAATCGTCATTTTCTAAAACTAAACCTTGTGAATAAGCAACGGAGTCCGAGATGTTATTCAGGTATATTTATAGGTGGCATGTCGGACAGGGACGTCTCTGAAGGGATCAGCCCTTGAGAGTACAAGTATTTAGATCTGAGATGATTTCACAAACGGCTTTATCCAGCAACTCGTTCCAAATGAATCATATAGAGCTTCTTCTGTCGTGTTCATATTGAAAGTAAGAAGTTTGCAGAATTTGCGGGGTAAAAACAAAGTTTATTGGAGAAGCTAAACTTACTCATCAACGTTTTTGAGGGTTTCACTGAAATCGACATAGATCCGGATACAATGCTTACAGGCATGATCTTTAAATGAGCAATCCAAGTATATTGAAGCCCCTCTTTTGCGTTACATTGGCCACGCTCAGCTGCAGGAGAAAAATAGCTGTGTTTATCGAAATGCTGCCACGGGTTCTGTTGTTATTAATAGAAGTGTTACGATAAGGATGGAGAGCTCACCGACTAACAATCAGAGAAAGAGCACTTTATCATCTACATACATTTGGAATCTTCACTGTCAGTCCAATTCCTTGTATTCTCAGCTTGTCAACAAGGCTAGCCAAAGGGGGCGGACACCGTTTACCAATTCGAATACCGCTTTTTTTTTTATATAGAAAAGTCTGGGTTTGGCCATAAAAGTGCATGCACCTTTTTTCGAATATGCCGAGAATACAATCTAGATGCGCAGTAAAACAGGCCCCCTGGAAACGTACACAGCGAGTCCTAAAGTGTTTGACCTAAAAGATATAAAGAGACATTAGGCGCAATAGAAGACATCATTCACCCTGTCAGATAAGGATGGCCGAACGAAATTGAATAATATGATACTTAGAATAAGCACACGTCTAAGCCATAGTGAGTAGCAGTATAATGTTTTTTCAGTAACAAAGCCCATATTCAATGCTACATATATATATATACTTACCAAAGCCATGCTGAGGCGACATCGCGATTCCTAAATCAGAAACCCTAAATGTACCGTAAACGGAAACTTCCTACCCGTTTAAAATACACGATATTCAACTTTAAACTATCGAATAAGAGGTTAAGTACAACAGCAATAAATCAGGTCATAGAAATGAAATTTGTGAACATCAATGTACAAAACCATTACCTTAGAGCTTACTAACAAATGGCCAAACTGTATGAGAATCCAACTTACTGAGAGATTTGTATTGGGGGGATGCCGTCGTGTATTCGCAAAACACAGCGGCGTATTCCGCTGAGTGGAATCTGCAGTTTAGCCTTAGTGTTTCATTTTTCGCGAGAATGACATGATCAAATTAATGTATCGGTATAGCTCTAGAGTTCCGTAGCATAGCCTCTAATCAACCAATTTTGATCGAATGTAACGAACTTCGAAACTGGAAATGATGAGAAATATATATCGTATTCTGAAGTCAGATAAGTACTACTATGATTCAGCTGTTGCTGTATTGAAAAATATGCCTGCAATAGACGCAAGTTTCAAATCGTTATGTGATGAACAGCGGCAACATAAATTAATGTTTCAGGTTTTACGTTTGGCATCGATTGTTGGCATTACTTTATCTCAACTACTATCAAATGGGCTAATCCGAGCGTTTGGCAGACCGCCCTTGCAATAGCCCTGAGAATAAAACTAAAACATCGTTATCCAATACTTTAAATGACTCCACAAACATCCACTTCTTTAATAGTCCATTGTGGCATGGCGCGAAGTGTATGACAGCTTTGAGATGTTTGTAGGAATTAGCGAGTTCTACTCCTTTCGACTATATTTGTTGTACCAAATTTTATTCCGCTAATGTAATTTAAATATCAAGCAAAGTTTTCCAGCGGTAGTCTAAATAAAAGCTGAATGCTACATTTATCTTTGATCACAATATATATATATATATTGCACACATCTTTAGCCCTAGTATGTTAAGTTAGTTGTTACGAAATAATCGCATACTAGGTCTATAGGCTGCGTTGTTTTTCGAAAAACGTCCGAGATATCGTAGATACGTCGAATTCTAGGCCATGACACTAGCGTCTTCGAGATCTTCCTGTATATATAAATAAAAATGTATAAAGCGCTCTAGCAGCTTGATTACATGACGCTTTGACTACGGTAAAAGCTATGGATGGCAGTGGCAAGATATAACAGGCTCGACAGATATAGTATGTGATTGGCGTAAGTTAGTGATGCAAACGAATTCTCAAATTGTGGCCGTTCGATTTTGCAAGACACAATAGGTGAAATATCATTTTGTCTTTAATCAGCGAGGAAACCTTTGATCTCATTCTTGATTGATTAGCTTATGTCGGATCCGTTTGTCTCTACCTGCCTCTACGCTGGCGCAGATCCGCCTGTTATTCTATTAGTGAGGATCCCAAACTGGTTGGATGCCGATGTTTCCTATCACATCATATCTATACATTCTAATTATCACATATGTGCATAGTTGTGATTCGTTTTAGTTATTAAAGATTAAATCAGTGTGGAGCAAAGCTGGACCACTGTTTTGCAACTGTTATCTGGTTTTGCAAATTTAAAGACTTTTGACGTTTAGGGACAATTTAGATAAATCTTTCAGTGAAAATCACTTCTTGTGAGTGCCACTTTCAGTGTTTCCTCAAACTTTCGAGTCCTTAAAATTTTTTGCTTGCTTTTTCTTTGAGTTTCTGTGTACCATTCATTGCAAGTACTGGGGCTTAATGGCGAATGCCACTCGATACGTATTGTTCACCCGACTCACAAGAAATTTTTG